AACCTCAACGGTGTTCATGACTTTGTGCAATTCCATCTCCAGAGGAGGACAATAAATCGCCAAAAAATGGCGTATGGTAATAATTTTTCGAAACACATGATTCACAATTCTGAAAGCATAGCTTTACTTGATTGGGTAGTTTAGACCATTTACGCCTATTAGTTACTACCGAATTCTTGGGGGGAAATTATAAATTTAGACCCAAAGTCATCCTCAAAATGCTCTTTTTAAAGCGTATGTTTCGTGAAATGACAAAGATGAATGGTTTAAGGAATAAGTTATTCGATTCGGCGAGTCAAGAGCGTCAAGAATCGATAAAATAATACGTTCGGGCAAAATAACCCAATCTTTGGATCAGGAACTATGAAAAAAACCCAATTCACACTGGTCAACAAATTGTAAATAGATATTTTGACAAAAATGTGTTTCTGTAATTACACCAAAAAAGATATCCGTGTTTTGGAGAATTTTGGAAACATACGTTTTCCAAGTCTTTGACAACCATTCGAATCGATAGCATTGAATCGACTTATTTGTTTGACGAAAGTTTGACGAAACGAAAGAAGAGAAGACGAAAGAAGAAAGAAACGAAAGAAAAAAACGAAAAGAGTTTGACGAAACACCACATTTTTTTGGTTTTTGTCTACAGGGTGTCCCATTGAAAAAACACGCCCTCTAACTCGACGCTGAAGTATCCGATCGTAATGATAGTTACGCCACTCGAAAGCCCTTAAAACGGCAAGTTTGCAATACGCTTCAAAACGCTGTTTTTTTATTTAATGGAGTCAACTTACAGCGCGTTTAAAAACATTAAGGAACGACCTCTGCATTATACATGGGTCGACGCTTGCATGCGCCGCATAAGCGTGGCCGGCCACGCTCTTCCGGAGCGTGGAGAGCCACGCTGGCGCGCGTGCCTCTTAATAAACCACGCCGAGATGAGCGTGGCCCGCCACGCTCCGGAAACGCTTACGCAAAGCTTCTAAAAATGCAAAATCAAAGTTTTCCAAGGGACATGAAACCAAAAATCGATCCGTTTTAGAGAATTTAACCAACAAGAAGTTGAATGACGATCTATCTTGTTTATTTATTAAAATCTAAAGATGACCCGGATAGTTATGTATCGGCAATTCATTTTTGCTAATCGAAATCATAAATATATGGCCTTTAAATTTCTGATTTGCATCTGGAGTTAAATCGCGCGCGTGAAAAAGCACGCATGAAGCGTCGACCCATGTATACTCTGCATCTAATTAACGGCTGCTTCGAGATGGAGATTTTGTATTGAGAATTGAGAACATTGGCTCGTATGCAACCCCGAAAAACCGCAAAATGTTACAAACTGGCTTGTAAAATGGCAGGTTTAAAAACATGGTTTTCAAAATCGTTGCAAACTGGCCGTTCAAATCGAAAGCACTGGAACGAGTTGAAGCAACTGACAACGAAATCTATTACATCAAAAAAGATATCCGGGTTTTTGAAAATTTCGGAAACATACGTCTTCAAATTTTTGGCAACCAGCCAAATCGAAAGCACTGGAACGAGTTATGATGCATCAACTCCACGTGAGAGATTAGAGGGAGGGAAATATTTTTCGTGATTTTGAGCAATTACGACGATTTCTAGCAGTTCAAACTGCTCGCAAACTCAGCAACGCAGTACGAAGCTTAACCAAAACGTTTTTGGCATTTTTTTACGTCATGAAGGTAATTTCGAAAACAATTTATTGGGGGGGGGCAATCTTAGAGGAAATACGGTAGTTACGAAAAAACATGAAAGATCCGGAAAACCAGTGGGAAAATAGTTTAATTTATCAATTATTATTTTTTTTCGCAATTCCGACCGACAGTTATCAAGCTGGATCCTAGGGTTACCCACACGTGACTTTAAAAAAAATTTAAGAAACCATACAAAATTAAAATTTATGAAAAACCTAGCGGCTAATGACGGAAACGGTAGTGGCCGTGTGAATGGACCAGTCTAGAAAGTGGTAAGTCGAGTTGGGCAGAGATGGACAAAGAGATGAACAGGAAAAGACGGACATACAGACAGACATTCAGAAATGCCTCCTCAGCCAGATTTCTTGCTTTCTACAGCCGCCACATACTCTCCCCGAAGCAGAAAAGCCATCCGCCCCGTTCCATTAGCTCCAAACATGCACCCAGAGCCACACACATCCACACAGTCACTTTCTTTCCCTTTCCACATGAAGAACGCCAAGGTGCCGAAAATCGGAAGAAAAATCATGTTTCGTTTCTACATAAAAATTGAGAATTTTTCCCCCTGCTTACCCATGAAGGAAAAAATAAAATGTTTCGAATACGTACAAACTTGCAATTGTTCGGAAATTTTTATTGAAACGATGCTTATTATATGGGAATATAAAACCAAGGTGCCGAAGATAGGGAAAAAAATAATGTTTCGTTTCTGCATAACATACTAACATTGTATTTTGGCAGGCCTCACCCATAAAGCGAAAAACAAAATGTTTCGGATACATATGAAAATCCAGTTCTTCGGAGATTTTTAATCGTACAATGGTTTGTAGGAGAATTTCTTGCCCAATGCTCCAGGAACAAAGCGTTTTCGAAAATTCTGAGTTGGCAGAAAAATCCTGTTTCGGCTGCGTATAACCACTAAAAATAATTATGACATCTAGCCGGTTGTGTAGCGAAAAAGTGTTTCGAATTTATTATAGCGCTCCGGTTTTCACACCGCCCCTAATGAGCCTTTGTTGTGTTTAGCATCTGCATCAAAATACGATTTCTAAGCGAGCCGAAAAAGCTGTCAAAATCCCATAAAAAATAAAATGTTTCGAATAAATAACAACTTTTAATATTTTGTGCATTCTTAATGCACCGAGATTAATGGATTGTAAATTATTTCCCTTTCCGCAAGAAGGTGCCGAAAATCAGAAGAAAAATAATGTTTCGTTTCTAAATAAAAATCTAGTTTAGACCTGGCCTTATCGTGAAACGGTTTCGGATACATATAAATTTCCATTTTTTTGGAGATTTTTACTGGATCGAGGCTTGTTATATAGGATTTCCATTTCCAGGAGAACACCAAGTTGCCGAAAATGAGGAAAAATAATGTTGCGTTTCGGTACAGCAAGGAAAAATTGATGATATTTTTAATATAGGGAGAAAAATGAACGAATACATATTCATTTCCAATTCTTTGGACATGCTTATTCCGCCAAGATTCTTTGATTTTAGTTTACTTCCCTTTTCATAAGAAAGCCAAGTTACCGAGAACCAGAAAAAATGTTTCGTATCCGTGAAACAGTAAAAAAATAATTATTTAACCAGCCTACCTAGTCAGCGAAAATTAAAATGTTTCGTATCTACAATAACATGCCAATTTTCTCAACGCTGTTGGTCAGCTGTTTTGACATCGTTTCTTCATCAAAGTAGTACCATTTTTATGCGACACGGTGAGGCGGCCAACTGATGGAAAAATAAACTCTTTCGAATTTCTATCAAAATAGCGTTTCTATGTCTATATTTTCTTTTATTTCTATATTTCTTTATTTTGTGAGCATTTCTAATAAACATGACCAGTAATCGGCTAACGTTGTATTTGTATAAGTTAAAAATAGAATGGTTACGGAGATCAACCACTTGGAAACGGTGGAGAATTAAAGTCTTTCAGAATTCTGCCAAATCCCACTTTTTTCCGAATCATTTTTAATGGATGAACGCGGCAATCAAAATGCTTTGCTTTTATATGCGTTTATATTAGCCAATGCTTTGAATAAATTAAGTTTATTTCTGTATTATCTCTCTCTCTCTCTCTCTCTCTTTCTCTGTCTCTTTCTCCCTCTCTCTCTCTCTCTCACGCTATCACAAAACGAATAAATATTTCTAACCGCCCGTTTTTCTCACAACAATTCCATAGCTCTGAATATCTCTAAAAATAATCACAATAAATATTTTACAGTAATTTTGCATAATTTTCATCAACTTTTACAGCAAACAAAATGCCCAATCTTTTGGCTCATCAGGCATTTATTGTGGGTCAACGGGCACGAGTCGAGGCCGGGAGGGCTGCATTCCGGTACCTTAATTAATTCATTACGCTAAAAATAATTATTTATTAAAATTCGCTAATAAAATTAATTAGTGTGGGTCCTTAAAACTAAAATATCCATTAAGATCGAAGCATGGATTGGGATAACATCCATGTTAATCGAAATTGAAATAAAATCCACGATAAATTTTATACAATTCAGCATTTAATGTTTCAATGAAATTCCTAGCTGGCCAAGACAGAACGATATAATTCATCCACATTGACGATTTTTGTTGACCTCAAATAGTGCATAAACTACTAAATAATATTATAATATTAAATAAACAATTATCGCAATTTATATTAAGCTAAAATTCCAGGTAAGAAGCCAATTAAGAAATAAGGTATCAGAAAAATTGGTGTAATCATTGTTTGCCTCTATCGCGATTGGGTAAAACTAGCCGTCATAGTTATTATGTTCATTATGATGTAAGCATTTATCATGGAATTATCTAATTTTAATTTCACTGTCTTGCTTTTTATAACTAGCCACGATCGTAAGAACCATAAGGATCTTTTTTAAAAATTTAGTGTTACAAGCAAATTCCTAGACATTGACAAACCCATATAGATATTATCATTTCAACTTTTTTATCGTTGTAGCTATAATAAAATAGTAAAACAAGAAATAATAATAGTGAAACCTGCTTGCAAATCTCTAACGCCAGTTGGATTATAGGAAAGTTATATAACAATTAAGCTAAATTCTACATAAGAATACGCGAGCTTTAGTTTAAAAATAATGTTCCATAAATGTTACAGAAACCGATGGCATGATTATCAATACTGCGAGTCTGAGAGTGCGGAGTCTAATTTTCAACCTATTTTACAGTGCATTATAATGGAATTCCACTAGTTTAGCGTCGTAATTAATTCATTAAGTGTACAAAAACTTATAGGAATTGCTAATTAAACGTTTTAAATCACGACGTATATTGCTGAAAAAGCATGCGTTAACAGGTTTATTAATAAACAGGTTTCATCTAAATAAATCCAACCCAGAATTTTTTGGTTTTATAATCCATCGATCACTTCTGTGCTAATAAAAGCTTGACTTGTCAAGTCTAACGATCCCGGTTTTTTAGATTTAATTATTTCTTGAATTTTAGAACCCATTCAAATATTGCCAATTGTGATTCTATCATCCTAATCTACTAAGATATCAAAAATACCGTAGTCGCGATGGAATATTCATTGCCGGACGGGCAGCTGTCCTTCGAAGCCGGACTCTGCTGGGATCGGGGTCGAGGACGACGGCCGCCTGTAGAAAAGCATGTTTTGGACTTACAAGGGAAGGTTGTTTGGGTCAGGTGTCAAATCGACTTGAAACTTTGCCAGTGGATAGAAAATCAAAAATAAAGTGGAGTTTCTTAATCTCATTTTTTGCACAATACCCCAAATTAAAAAGTTATAGGCCTCTGAAGTTACATAAAAAAAGCACGAAAGGACCCGACAATTCTGATCTGGTCCTCATTGTGGCCTGCCCCCTTTTCAAGCTCTTGCGTCGCCCGGACTGGCAAGCTGTTTGGCGCAGTAGGTAGTGACCAAACAACCCAAACAACCAAACAACCTTCCCTTGTTAACATCACTTCACTTTGCTGAAAATCTAGCAATCGCTCGTCATCGGTAGTAGTGGAATTTCGGGAATTCCATAATTCGTGATTAATTTAAAAATTATTGGAGTCATTAGTATGGGATTTTCGTGTATAGACCACAATTTCCTACAGCAATGATTTAGAAATAGTATGTTTCGATTTTGAACAAACCCCCAAAACGACCCGCATTTCGCAGTCGACGAATGTGCTCGGATGATAAATTCTCATCGTCTGTTAATCTATTAATTGCTCTTAGTAAAATTTATATCAACCCTAAGGCGGGACTTGTAAAAAACCATAGCTCGACACTCAGGGCCGGAAATACATTATTAAATGAAAAACGATCGATTATCAGGTGCCCAGCAAAAAGCCGGTTGAAAAGACATGTTTCAATTCTCGGGCACCAAAATGCTGTAGATTTATGGCCAATTCCGATGTCGTCCGTTGCCGTAAAATTTTTTGTAAGGTTTCAATCAAGCCTTTTTCGAAAAGTGTTTTAAAATAGCTTAAAATATTTTTCAGAATTTAACGGAAAACGCGGTTAACAAGAAAAAAAAACGGTCGGCACGCATTCCATTGCGTAATGGGCTATGCCCGCTTCGCGGTAGGCTAGTATAGGCAAAATGCGCGTTGCGTGTCGCGGTGCTATGCAAAATCCATGGTCATGCATGTCCCGTTCAAAAAGAAATAATTTAGTCTTCAGTACCTTTTCCCCCATGGCCTCCTGCTGGCCCTTCCTTGTTGGGCCTCAAATTCCGATGACCTCCTCCTCCTGCTCCGCGTCCTTTTCCGTTCCCACTTCCTCCTCCGCCTCTCCCGCCATGATTTTGCGCCCTTCTTGAGCTCATCGGCCCAAGTACCGCTGAAAAACTGTGTTTCGGAAATTTATCCCGGGTCTGGAAATTCTTTGAAGCAATAATTTTTGCTAACGTACACCCCAAAGTTTCAAATTTTCGCGAAAAATGCTACGATCCGGGCTTTTTATTTGTCGGTAATTGTTTATTTGGTTCTTTTGCATTATCGGGGGGAGCAACTTAATAGCAAGTGCTTCAATAATGTTCTTAATAAAAAAATATATTTCAAGTAGGAAAACTATGTAAAAATTTTGCAAAAAGGCTAAATTACGGTCGAGAAATCGACATTTTTGCATTTTCTAAATAAATCTGGTAAATTAATAAAATCAATCACTCAGAGTCTCCTCGTTTTTGATTTCTAAGTAAATCTTTTTTTATAATTGTCACTAACACAAACTCATTGAATATTTATCTGCGCTATCTAGCCTGCCTTAAAGCTGTCACGCTCCCTTTAAAATACCTACAAGCGGAAGGCGTGAGAGGTCGCGGCTCTGGCAAGGGTGGAGCACCACCAGAAGGAGGCGGAGCTGGCCGGGGTAGCGGTCTAAACTCAAAAACTTACGATTTATTTTAGATCGATGGTCTCGAGAAATTACCGTGCCCAACCATGCCGTACTTTTAAAAATCGATGAAACATAGATTTTCCATGGGGATAACCTGTTTATTTTGCTGCTACCATTACCGCATCGTATAACTAAAAAATACGCTTAATCGTGCCAAAAAACATACAGAAATTTAGCGTCCTCATGCGCTTTTGAAGCGCCATTTTTTATTTTTAGAATTGTTTTCAAAATAAAATTTAGAGGCATTGATCTGGGAAGTACTTTAACCAAACGGTTCTTGATACAACCCAGGAAAAATATGATACATCAAACTTCTAGGTTTGTTGTGTTTTGTTTGTTTTAGTTTTAATACATCCCCATTATCGTGTGCCGTTAGTAGATTTTGTCAGATCGTCAGAATCGTTAGACAATTGGTCTGCTAGCTTGCCCTTTCCTAAAGGATCCTTGCTAGCCTGCCATTTCCTAGGGATCCCTGCTAGCTTGCGCTTAACAAATTTTTTGACTTTTTTACTAGCTTGCCGAAGGAATCTCTGCTAGTTTCCTCAGCAATCGGCAGGTTTTTTCCCAAATGTTCTTTGCTAGCTTCTCTTTCCTAAAAGGTCTCGGCTAGCCTGCCTTTCCCTCAGGAATCCCTGCTCGCTTGCCCTTTCCAAATATTCCCCCTTTTTCTGCTAACCTTTCCCAAATAACCGATGCGAGTCCGCGATTTTGTATAGGATCCATGCCAGCCTGTCATTTCTCAAATGTTCCCTGCTGGCCTCCCCGTTCTTACGGCGTTCCTGCTAGCCAGCCTATTTTTAAATAACCTTCATACCTTTGTGGAGGTGGAGGTGGCTGATGAGGTGGAGCTCCTCCTCCTTCGTAATCCGGGAAATCCCCGTAGTCTCCATCCATTGGAGGAGGGCCACCTCGTCCTCCCGGGCCAGGCCGATGCGGAGCCGGCCGCCGAGAGTGAGGGCGTTCTGAAAAATATGTCATTGAAGCGACGGGCAAGGCAGGGCTATAGAAAACTCGCCAAGAAGTGTGCATTCGCCAACAGTTTCAAAAATATGTTTCAAGCAAATTTGGTAATCCATAAGTTCTTTGGCAACCAATCAATTGCTGGGAAGCGCAACTTGCGTCATTTTTTATTGACACTTACTCAAGCTTTTTTGTTTTTTTTTCAGCTAAGCAGTTTTTAAGAAATATAAAAAAACCATTTCTCCCGTTCTCCTGATGGTCCGAGGGAGGGCGATGTGGTTGAGGGCCGGGAGGACCAAAATTATCGGGTGGCGGACCGCCTAGAAAAAGTATGTTTTCTAAAAACCCGGTAATTTTGTCAGGTTTGATTTTTTAATGCAACGGCGCCGGTATTACAAGTTATTGTAGCCTGCTAGCCTGCCCTCCCCTCTTCCTCAACAATCTCTGCTAGCCTGCCCTCTCCTCTTCCTCAACAATCTCTGCTAGCCTGCCCTCTCCTCTTCCTCAACAATCTCTGCTAGCCTGCCCTCTCCTCTCCCTCAACAATCTCTGCTAGCCTGCCCTCTCCTCTTCCTCAACAATCTCTGCTAGCCTGCCCTCTCCTCTCCCTCAACAATCTCTGCTAGCCTGCCCTCTCCTCTTCCTCAACAATCTCTGCTAGCCTACCCTGCCTTTTAAATCCTTTTCACCTCGAAAATGCTCATTATCATTATTGTCGATTCTTCTGGAAGAAAATGTGGGTGGTGGCTGTTGTGGTTGCATCGGGCATCCATTCATCTCATTTGGAGACCCACCCGAATTCCCGCCTAAAAATTAGGGCTTGATTTTGAGAATCGTAAATCGTAAAAAAATTAATTTTCACGAAAAAAATTGCTTACCAAACACTGATGAAACATTTTTTCGCAAGACACCGAATAGTAAGGAATATATTTAATAGTTGTTTTTAGGAAAAATTAGACTATATTGCCAGTGGTAAAACTATCTAAAAGCTTTCAAAATTTTAGAATTCGAGACTTTGATCAAAATCGGCCAACGCTGGTCGAAAAATTTGAATCTGTTGTATTTTTAACTAAAACATTTATATTTTTGTTGAGTATAGGATTAGCAAAAAGCAAATTAGAAACACGGCATCGATTTATAATAGAAAAATTGAATACTAAGTAAAAAGCCCCCCCCCCCGATAATGCGAAAGCTCCAAATTCCGAAATCTTAAAAAAGTTCAAAACGACACTATTCAAGGATTGTTGTGGAGAAAACCAAGGTGAGATGTTTCGAAAACGAAACATTCACTTTTAAGAAAAATTCGTTATAGCACCAATTCTGATTTTTACGTGGCAGATTATTTTTTATAACGCTAATAACCTTGCGAAAAGAGGTTAAAAGATACAAAAAATAAAAAGTGCTAATTTATAAAATGCCAAACCTGAAAATGGGCACCCGGAGCTCTGGAACCCGCCGCATCCATTCCCTTCTGATGGTTTTTGCATCGGGCATCCAATGTTCATATTGCAGTTGTTCATTCCATCCATCCTGCAAACACGGAAATTTTTTATTGGTCAAAAATCGGTTTGTCGTGATTTCATTACGTCGAAAATTATTTTGTCGAAAGATCCTCATGTCGAAAATTATTTTGTCGAAAACCGTTTCATTTACGAAATTTCAATTTTGTACAATTTTGAGGAGAATAGAAACAATGAAATAAGATTTGGATAAGAACAGAACTCGAAAAATTTAATTTCAACAAAAAGGTATCAACTATAATAAAAAAGTAGTGGTGTCCGTCTGTCTGAAGCCGAATTCAACTCGAAGGGGAAAGGAGCTAGAGCTTAGGGCTTTTCGGATTCGGATAGAGCGTGGACAGAAATCCCCAAACTGATGAAAAAATTATGAAAAAGTTTTCGATTAAATTATTAAAATTAACTTTGAAAGTTTTTCCTTAGTAAAAAGGGTGGGGGACGGAGGTTTGCGCGATTTCGGACATAGTGAGCCAGGTGGCGCGCGTTTCGGCGAGGGGGAGAAAGCGAATGGGATAACCCGAAGTTTCAAAAAATGGCCATGAAATTTCAAAAATTTCATTTCTGAAAAAATCGTTTTCACAAAATGAAATCTCGACAAAATGATCAGCATACTGATAACAAAACCTGCAAAAATCCATACGATCAAAATAAAAAGTTTGGATTCTAACTCTACAGAACTCGCTAAAAGGAGCAGCTTTTATCGTCGAATTTCGGTTAGTGCGAATGAACACAAAAACTTGAAACCTTTTCCTTCTAAGCGAAAAGAACAATCGTGCGTGTCCACCCGGGAACGTCTGTAAAATTAATAGACTTCGAGTATCGTTTTCAAAGAATTTTAAAAATTAGAGTTTTTATCGCTATGCGGCTAAAAATCGGGTTTCAGTTTAATTCAGTCAAAATTATAAAGCAAAAAGGCATCCAAAATCATTTTCATAATTAAATTAAATATTGTTTAATTAATTTCGTAATTAAATTAAACAATATACCTGTTGCATCGTCTATTAAAATATGCGAAAGAAAAAAGTATGAGAAATTGATGGAGTCAATACTGTGGGTTTGTCAAAACACCCAAGTTGTTCTAAGGTTGAAACATATTCAGTTTGCAAAGTAAAAAGGTATTATTACAAAGCATATATTATTGATAATTGCTTAAATGCGTTATTATTATTACTTTTTTACTATTATTACATAATTCTTATACCCACCCAAACGGACATCCACACATCATCGGACACCCACAATTCGCCGGGCAGCCTCCGCCACAATTGCCACCACCGGCCATCATCACGCCGTTATTTTCGCATTTAAACCCTGAAAAAAAATACTATCTTACTGTATTTATATGTGGTTATTAATATAAGCAAGTTTCTATATTAAATTAAATAAATTTAAGATTGTCCGAAAATTCCAAGTTCGCTATTCGGATTTATATCTGAAATATCGATGTTTAAAGAAATGGCGCAATGCAGGGAGAAATCAAAACCATTAATACTTCAGTTTTCGTTCTTTGAAAATATATCTAAGCTTCCCAGCACGTTAGCCTTAAGATACGGCAGGGGTTTTGGATATAAATCATACATAAAAAAATTATAACTTTTTGTTGGGAACTTGGCTTTTTCGTCAAAAATGTATGAAAAACGACCAAAGAGTCCAAAATTTTACATTACTACTTGTTAATTTCGAAGATTACTATTTTCTATTTCAAGGCTATATTTTAAAACCATTATAACGTTTGCAACGAACACTAAAAAAAACCCCTATTTTTTTGGTGCTTAAAATTTGGTGTTTCATCCATTGGCCTAGAACCGCGAAGTGATTTCGCGAACAATCAAGGTTTCTTCTTGGAAGGTAGGCTTTTCTAATAACATCCTTTTTTAATCTTTTGATCTAATTAACATTTATCTATTTTCTTCATTACATACCCTAAGTTTTTAAATTACCTTGCGGTGCCGGTGGTCCACCGTGAATCTGCGGCGGTGGTCTTCGGATATTTTCGTGAATTTCGTGATTCTGAATTCCGGGCGGCGGCATCATGCCGTCCATCTCCTCGCTGTCCTCTTCTAAACATCACTTTACTATTTTTTATATTTTAACCGTAATTTTAAGTATTAAACTAATTTACTGGTTTATTTTCACGCAATTCCATTCCCTAACCAAAAGGCACGGATTGGAAAATCGGTACGGGGCGCTCCTATGCGCGTTGAACTGTCCGAGGACGGTGTATTTCGTACTTAAGCGGAAAAGTCCCCCAATTTTTTGCTATAAACGTTTATCCCAAAAAAAGTTGATAGAAACAATGAAAAACAAATTAGATTTAAATGTTCAACGAAAAATTCTGATCTGGTACTTTTTTTGGGATGAGGTTTTGAAGTTTTTCACGTTAGTTCACGTGTTTCTTGCTACTTCACAGGGGCGGGGGGAAGCCAATGGAGATATTACGCTCCGTCCTGAACATCGTAAATTCTATACTTCTCCGCCCACCCTGGGTGGGCCCCCCCTAGGGGGGACAGAGGGGGACTGAAAGGGGGATGGTGGGGCTCCCCCGGGGGACCCCGGGGATTCTTCCCCTCCTCCTCCCCACCCCCCACCCCCACCCCCCCACCCCCACCGAATTTTCGCTATGCCGAATTTCGCTATGTCGAATTTTCACTATGCCTAATTTTCGCTATGCCGAATTTTCACTATGCCTAATTTTCGCTATGCCGAATTTTCACTATGCCTAATTTTCGCTATGCCGAATTTCGCTATACCGAATTTTCACTTTACCGAATTTTCGCTATACCGAATAAATTTGAAAAAATTTGAAAAAATGGGCTTGATATAAGTAAAAACTGTTTGAAAAACAGTAATAAACAGCGCCGCAGGCAGAAAATTTTTTGTAATTAAAAATCATAAGGGTCCCCCCTTATGAATTTTTCAGACCTTGACCGATTTCGGGGGGCCCAGGCCCTGGGCCCCTCCTACGGGCCTGAGGGGTCCCCACCATCCCCCCTTTCAGTCCCCCCTCTGTCCCCCCTAGGGGGGGGCCCACCCAGGGTGGGCGGAGAAGTATAGTAAATTCCAATCGTATGGCATCCTAATTACTGCAAAAAATCTCATCTGATCCGTGTAATGGAATGAAACATACGGTCGTTGGGTGGGCGTATGCCGTGTTCATTTGGATAGTGCTGGTTGGTGGCCGGCATTTTACCATCGTCGGCGATTTCCTAAAAGAGCTCTTGAATAGTACTTTAGATTGAATTTAGGGATTCAATTTAGATAGATTAAATTAAATCGAAAAAGAAAAACCTGAGGTGATCCAAAAAATTTAAAAAATCATGTTTCACCGAAAAACTTCCACCCCGCAGTTTTTTTTTGCAATAATTCCATGCAAAGTCCTTGCTTCGATCTATCCGCAGCTAATGGCTATACTAAATTTATGTTAAATTCTAGTTATTTTTTCAATAAATGCTGTTGCCAACCTCGAATTAATACATTGATTTTTCTTCCGACCTTTAAAAAGGTTTTAAAGTTGCTTAAACAAAATTTTTGAATTTTTCATAAAGATATGTTAAGGGTTTATAACCCAAATATTGTTTTCTTTGAGTTAGGCTTTCTGATACCTTTAAATGTCCTTTCCGAGACGAGAACCGAATCGGCTTCTTTGTACTCGCCGACGCCGGTGAGCTGCTACGGTTCGCATCGGCGTCAATCATGTCGGTGTCTAAATTTGGTGTATTTCAATATAGCTTAGGGAAAAATATAAAATACTTTACTAAAAAAGGGATATAGGAGAGCCGGTCGTGAATAAAAAAAACGCAAAAAAATAGAAATAAAAATGCCGTAAGCCTAAAGTAAATGTTTTATCGAAATACAGAAAACTTAAATGCATTTTTGGTACTATCAAGAACTAGGGAAGAGCCGATAAACAAAACTTTTAAGCTTTAAACTTTTGGCTTAAACTAAACTTCAAAGCCAAATTCTGAAATTTAAAAAAATGTTTGCCGTTTCATGAAATCGAATGTTTCAAAAAATTACACCTTCCAAGAGCAGGTTTTTTTCAACCAGTGCAGTGGAAAATTGTTGAACGTATCATTTTATCGAAATTTCATTTTGTCGCAATTTCATTTTAACAATCTCACTGCGCTAATTACAATTTACAAAATAATGTTTGAGGTGACTAGTCGAGGCGAAAAAGGCATTGAAATATATTAGAACAATTGATATTAAGACGAAATAAATTTCTGAAAAGTTGGAATTTCGACAAAATGAAAATGCGGCTTGTATGTAAGATCGACCGCGTAAAAATTGATGTTTCCTAAAGAATCTGAATAACATATTTTTCATCGTATTTAATATCTGAAAAATGGCGAGATGAACAAACCCTGGTCGCTCAGCATCTGCCCATAGGGCCCGGGCCTGGGCCGCATCGGTCGTGGCACCAATGGCCGAGGGTTGGGAAGTGGGGGCAGCCCTGAAAAAATGTGTTACAACCAGCATTAAGCAGAAAAAAAATCATATTATTCCTCAATTCGCTGACCCCGATATGATTCCTTTAATTAAATTCCTATTTTTGCTTTTACAATTCATCCATAATTAAGTTCTTATATTTTTATTGCATATTTACATAAAACTATCAAAAACCTAAATTTTCATCATTAAATGCTAAAATTCCACCATGAGAAATTTCGCAACTACAAAAATTCACCAATCAAAAAAAAATTGGTAGTGATTTTTAACGCCGATAACTAATGGGCTGAATAATAGACATTATAAAGGGTTCAATTTAAAAGGAGCTTTGAAATCGATTAGCAAAATGCTAGGATTGAACGTATCATCATTTTACGTAACACTTTTTCTAACCTGGTGGCGGCAACCCATCGGCCTCAGAACCGCAGCAAATGTATCGCAACACGTCTTTGTTAAATTCACATCGGAATTCCTGAATTGTGGAAGAAAATTATGTGTTTTATGGCACTGGGACATGAAAAACGTGAAGGTGGTTTTAATACATAGTTTAATAGGCCCTTTAAGATCATTTGTAAGCGTTTATGGTCTGGCGCTTTTTCAAAGCGAAACCATATATAGCTCCCCCCTCTCTCTCGCTCTCTCTCTCTCTCTCTCTCTCTGCCTTTATCTCTCTCTCACTCACTCACTCTCTAGTCATTTAACGCCCACTTCGATAAAAACAATATACCAACACGCTATCTGAGCGTGGAGATGTTTCAAAAATGTTACCATAACTGGCTGGTTAGTACTGTCATATTTTAATTTTCGCTGGGGATTCCAACTGAGGAGACCCGACCCTAGCGTAAATTAGCCTGTCTTGGACAAGGGTCGAAACAGGCTCTACTATCAGAATTTTCTCACTTTAGCTCTTTCTTGAGCAATTTTCCTTTTCTAATTTACTCGAATTGGTTAACGTTTAGATGCATAGCTTCCTTTTGATTTAGAAACACTTAGTGAAACTCAACCGTGAAATCTCGTAGTTTTCTACAAATTTTCGATATCAAACTATATTATTATTATAGTAAATAAACTAAAAAATTTTGTGCGATACTGTAAAGGGAATTCGCAATTGGATCAAATATTAGAAGCAAAAATTAATAAACAAACAAACAAAAAATGTTTTACGTTTTTTACCCTGGGCGTGAACCCCCAAACCATAATCGGATGTGCTACATATCTTTTTCTTCTTTCAGCTACCAACCGATTTTTTCTGATCTTTCCAGCGTTAATCTAAAGCTGTATTAAACGATACCCTGGGGCACTGTTGATAGTAACAATTCCGTAGTCGATTCCCGCGATCAATTAGAGGTGAATGGCTCGGATTTTCGCATTTCGGCAGTCGCCTGGAGATTGGTCTAAAAACTAACAATTTTCTTTGTTTTTTGTTATGTATTTTTATTTATAGCATTAAAGGTTGAGACATTTTGGCCACAAACTTTGTCATCTATAAATCTTAAAATTTGGCAGTCCAAATACGCATATTTTTGGAAACCTTCAAAAATTCTATATGAAATTCTTGAAATTGTGTGGTATCCCGCCGTCGTTCCTAGAATTGTAGCCACTTAAACTTCATTTATAATTGTTTTTCAACGAAACATTTTTTGATAATTTTATTTGATTATGCAGCCGTTATTTAAAGTTCACGCCTTTTAGTGACAATTTTCTATTTTTAATTTCCAACAATTGATTTTAATAATATTCTAAAAAACCTTTTAAAAGCCTGAAAAAGCTGGCCTAAAACTAATTCGATGCTCGAAAACGGCCTGTGTCAGTCGTAGTATAACAAATAGCATGTTTTTAACAATGCGTTCGATGTAACATTTTATTTGACAATTTTTAATTAAATGCCGAAGCCATTCATTAAATTTTGTATTTCTGTTTTATCCTAATTTTCTATTTTTGCGAAAAATAAAAAATCCGAGCGGAAAATTGAATTAATCAGTTTTGTCAAAACGCTGCAGTGGATTTGGGAGTGACCTTTTATTAAAGATAGCATCCCACGTTATTGCCATTGCTGCTAGATGGAGCATCAAATTTGATGCTTTTTTTGGCAACTTTTGTAAGGTTATTAAAAATATTTTTACGTTTAATTGGTTTATTTAGAAACACTTTGCTTTGTTCGTTCGACACAGTTAGAGAAAAATTATAGCGGTCCATTCAATTTTTTATCTGTATTTTTGGTGAAACGCCTACTTTGAAGTGGTGGTGGTAGTGGTCGGGCTTGGCGTCGTCGTTGTTGTTTTTCGATTTCGCGGCCGTTTTGTGCGTCTCGTTGCTAAATGTGGGTGGAATTAATAAAGTATAACATTTTTTAAACCCTGGCGTTATTTTAAAGATTGTGAAGCTTACTTTGCTCTTCTCCGCCCGCCTCCCAATCCTCTCCGTTTCCCTCGCCGCCTAAAAAATTTGTTTCAGTGATTTTTATAAGGATTTCCGATTTTAACAAATTGGGTCAAAGCAAATACTGTTAATTTAATTATTTTTAAGCTTTGGAATATTCCGGGTTGAAAATTGCTGTGTTTCGAAAATCACTCAAGTTATTTCGGTTTTTAATGATACAATGTTCACAACACTTGGTCGTAAAACGTAATATATAAGCGAATGCTAGAAGCTTTATTTCTGAAAAGCTGACTGTATGAAATTTTTTCTAATATATTTATAAATATCCGGCATTTACTTAGAGTTTTGCGTATCTTTTTTCATAATCGAGTCCACAACGAAAAAGTTGATTTTTCGAATTTTCTAAAATTTAATGTGTCAAACATTTATTCGATAGCTGAATTTTTGGGCTATTTAATGAAGCTTACTTTGGCTTTCACAACAAAAATTAAGCATTAAAATAGCTTAAATTATCTGTTTTAAACTTTTTATTAGGCTTTTGTTTCGGCCTCATCCCGCTGGTTATATGTATATGAATGGTTTGGTTTATTCAACCGGTTTAATTATTTTAATTTATTTTAAAAAATTCCGGGTTGAAATTCTGTGTTTCGAAAATGGGCTAGTCAACGCAGTTCTTGATCCTGCAATTCTGCTCATCAAAAATGGTAAAAAACCGATTATTTTTAGAGCGATTAAATACCCGATTAAATTTCTATCTAAAATACCCACAATAAGCGCTTCAATTTGATAAATTTAGATAATGAAAAATAAATTAAATTAAGTTAGTCAAAACCAGGGTTGAAAAGCCGCTTCGCGACTTTTCAACCCTGGCTCTGTTTTGGACCAACGAAAGTTTACACTTTGCATAAATCGGTCCGACCCATGCTAAAAAAAATGAAAAATGCGTTCTCTGCTCCTTTATATAGGCTACCCCCACTTCCGGTGTATGCTAATTGATTCCTAAAAAAGAGGGTCTCGGATTTTTCAACAAAAACTAAATTTTAATGTCGAAAATAAGCCAGTTTATAAATTTGATATGCGTGCAGTCATCTCCAGCCCATTACGCATCTAATGACGTATCAAACATGCCCCTAACTACTCTCCTTCTTGAGATACGACTGGAACACGCTGACGGAAGTTGCATGCAAAGTGGCACACACACACACACAAACACTACTTTTTTATATATAGTAGGATGTTTTATGGATTTTTATCACTAACCAGGGTTGAAAAGCCGCTTCGCGACTTTTCCACCCTGGCCCGGTCCAACCCCATCAGATTCTACAATCTGCATACGTCTTTCGATTTCCGATGAGAAAAATGAAAAGTTCCACTCTCTCGGGTTATATACAGGGTGTCCCAAAAAAAATCCCCCCCCCCCCCCCCCTAGCCGGCCGCAGACCTGTCCGATTTTTACGATTTAGGTACCTATCGAAAGCTCTCGGAAAGGCGATGTCGGGACGCCTGGTCGATTTTCGAAATGTCGGAATTTTTTGCTCGATTTTCGGCATTTTTCAGGCCAAAAGGACAGACTTTTTTGTTCAAAACGCAATTTAACCGATTTAAGCGCTCTCCAAGCTGTGTTTTGGCAAACGGCTTTCAAAAAGCTGTCGTTGGGTTGCCAGGAGACGCGTAGAAATTCTTAAATTGCGATTTTTGTAAAAATTCCTCTGGTCAGAACAACATCAGAAAATCAACCATTTTGCAAAAACGTTAGTAACTGATGGAAAAATTTCCAAATTATGAAAATCGACCAGGCGTCCCGACATCGCCTTTCCGAGAAGCTTTCGATAGGTACCTAAATCGTAAAAATCGGACAGGTCTGCGGCCGGCTAGGGGGGGGGGGATTTTTTTTGGGACACCCTGTATAGGCCGCCGCAACTTCCGGCGTATGCTAATTATTTCCTAACAAAGAAGGCTGCCCGATTTTTCAACAAAAACTTAAATTTAATGTCGAAAACAGCTGAATTTGTAAAAACTGATATTGGTGCAGTCATCTCCAGGCCATGACGCATCTAATGACGTATCAAACATACCTTAAAAATCTTCCCTTTCTGAGATATCCTCCGGACAGAATGACGGAAGTTGCATGCAAAGTGGCACGGACACACACACAGACACTATTTTTTTTATATATAGTAGGATGAAACATCATTGATTTATCCGCAATTCAATTTTACCTGCTTAAATTATGAAGTAGATTTTTTCACTGGGATTTGTATATCAAGAAGTTGTTCAAATTATATAACCTGATCCCCCTACCGTATCCATTATTCTCTTCGCCGCCTCCAGTTATTGATCCTCCGCCTCCGCCTCCTCCAGTATTTCCAATATCCACCACCCCATTTCCCGGAATCGCGTCCGGTCCGTACGGCTCGTAGTCGTCGGGATCTAGAAAAAATTTTGCAACAGGTTTTCGCAACATTTAGTTTTAATAATTTTAGTATCAGCGATTTACGCTTAGTTCAGTTTAACTTTAGTTTTGAAATCTTGATCAAGCTGTTTTTTTTGCACAACTATAACGAGGTGGTTTCTCAACACTACCGCTTTGCCCCGCTATTTTTATAGTAATTTTGGTGAAACATGTCTTTTAAATCCAGCGCGTTTTGTTACCTGGCCGGCCTGGCTTCGGCTTTTTCCGGCTGGACAACCGCTCCGGCAACTCCATACTTCCGCCAAAACCTAGAAAGATATTTGGAAGTTCTCTTTATCCTTTTAATTTTCAATAATTTCTTATTACGTAAGGACTGTACGAACTAATAAGGTACGATGGCAGCAATATCGAAAAAATATTTGCCAGTTTATTTAGCATTAATGAAACATATTTGTCTTACCTTCCTCTCCACCTGGTGGTCGATCGATAATCGGCTCGACCTCTACGCCGTCCGGTCGTCCGATCGGAAACGGGAACTCTTCATCGGGATCCGCTAAAAATAAGCTCTATCTCGTTTTGTGGCTCTCTCTCACCCTCGCCCTCACTCTCGCTCGCTCTCATTCTCTCGAACTCTCGCCCTCTCTCTCTCTCTCTCTCTCTCTCTCTCTCTCTCTCCTATGCTCCGTATCTTATTCTTCGAAAAATGTTTCGGATTTTTAACGGCCCTTGGACGCTTTTGGGACTTTGATATGTGGCCGTTTTAGATAAAAACAACAAAAATTTAGACATTTTCCTGCTGTTTCTATTCAGCGTAATTCTTAATGGCTTTTAATTAGTCCTATAAAACCCCTTACTCGTTGTGGTCCCTTTCCCCTTCTGTTCGCTCGAATTGGCCGTTTCCCAGCAGCAGTAGTCCTGTAAAAAGCTGAATGTTTCGAAGCAACTCTAAAAATAACGTTTGCAACAGCAATACTGTTTAGGAAGTGGTCGAATGCTGGCATAACTTGATGAGAGTTGGCTGATTGACCGGTAATTTTACAAAAAAAATGCTTCAAGAAAACTAAATAAATTAGCTTTGCTTTACCGCTTATTAACGCCAAAATCCTTCTGGCAAAAAATTTACATTTGTCTTCCATAACCTTTTAAAGAGGCAGGCATGGCTTGAAAAGGCTTGATAAACTTTTCTTCGTATATACGAAGAAAAGTATTTTTATCATAATTTTCACATTTTACGCAAGCGTTTACTTCTTTTTTGGTTATTCCTGAGCACAAAAAGTGACAAACTCTAGTTAAAATTTGATTTTAGATCGAAAAAAGATTTTTTGGAAAGATTTCCTTTTTCAAATATACGGAAAACTTACTAAAACACTTTATCTACGATTGCTAGGCCAAACACACTCGACCGCCAGGAAAAAATTTGCTCCCCCCGATAATGTAAAAGAACCTAGACGAGTGGGCTAGCGCGGGATTTTGTAGAGAGCACAGAAATACCATATTTGGCGTAGAAAAACGAAAATATTCTACATACCTGAAACCCTGGCACGAGAATCGGGAACCGCTCGCACACCGTACCCCCTGGGCATGACGTCTCGTTGTAGAATCCTGCAAAAAGCGATTAGCAACTATTCTTTTCAAAAACTGCGTTTCAATGTTTATTCAAGTCAAGCCACAGGATCAGCCGATTAATGCCATTGCCTCTGTTCATCTGTGATATGCTAGTAAAAAGCCAGACAACATCCATTTATATAACTGCCTTTTTTCTTTATTTTCGACTGTAGCAAATATTTTAACATACTTCCCGATATGCTTAGTTTTAGAAAAAATTCTTTTTCTGCTGGAAACCTCCATTTTCGCAGATTTTTTGTACAAAACTCGCCGGAAAACTAAGCGATATTCGGTAAAATTAAAGCCTCGTGCACTGAAAATTTGGATATATTTTTTCGGTTGTAAATAGCGGACAAAAATGGTCCTACCCGTGCCTAAATTAATTTTACGTATTTTTCAGCAACGTATCCACGGAATGATTTCCGATAGTTGCGCTAGTGAACAGGATTTCTTGAAACATTTTTTACAGCCGACCGAATTAATAAAATTTTTATAATGTTTAATGGAATTTCCAGAATTGATAATTGATTGATATCGAAAATTGAAGGAAAAATTGAAATTAATGGATTTCCATCACCATCATCAAGGCTGCATTGTTGCAAAAAGGCTTCGCTAGTCAAAATGATTTTTTGAAAGATTGTTTCTCGATAAAATACGAACCCAATTTCTGGGAGCACTGCTGCAGATCGCCGGTGATCGGATGCACGTAGACTTTGTTGCCTGAAAATTAATAATTTATGTTAGACGGTGTACGCGTACAGATATTGTACGAATTTTAAATGACGCTGCTATTTCCAAAAACGAAACACCTCTTCTCCACTTGCCAAATTTCTCCATTTTGGTGTGGGACTCATTACGCAGTATTGTCGAGGAATTCGAGGCAGCGTATATTTAATTATTATTCTTATTTAAGCGTAATATGATGAAGTTGGGAATATGTCTAAAAGCGGAAAAAATTTCCAGGCGAAATGGCAAAAAATTTGAATTTTACAGAATTGCTGATAAAGCTCGCTAAAAAGCTCATTTTTAGTAAATTGGGATAATAGAAACGATTTTAATAAAAGCGGATCGTGTGCCGTAAAACCTTTCCTGACGGGCAATTGATCTCCACCCCCGCATCTTCAAACATTTTTCGAAAAGGCATCGGTGATGAGCGGGCTGGGGCAGGGGGGTTCTAAACGTTTTTTATGGAATCTAATTTCAGTACGTCGAATTAGTTTGTCGAAATTTTTTTTCGAAATAGCCTTTGGTCGAAATTAATTAAAAACATGCATGAATTTGCTACAAGTAACAATTCGTCAAAATGAATGTCGACATTCTAGCTATCGATAAAATGAAAATAACTTTCTAATTGTAGTATTTTTGCTTAATAATATACTTGTTTTGAACGCGCAAGAATCAAATAAAAATTGGTGCAAAGCAATATAACATTTCGGCCCGTCTAGAGAGTTATGTTTCAAGAAATGGCAAAGGAAAGGGAAGCTGCGCGGCGCTAATGGTCCGGCCGTTAGTTGTTCGGCAGTAGTTATCTCATTTTTTAATTTTGAATTCTTCTAACGATAGTTTTTTTGTATTGATACTAGCAAGTTGCATTTGTCGAAAATAAATAAACACATAAAAATAAAGGTTTGAAAAAACGCGCAATTTTAGCATTTCTATATTTTTATGTTTCAAGAAATCACCAAGAATAGTGGAAAAATGCGGCGTTAATCACATTTTGCGTTTCTTAAGCTTACATCACCCTATTTTCATTTTTATATTACCTTATTCTTCCTGCCATGCCGACTCTTCGCCTCAACAATCTCCCATCCGGCCACCAGCAAAAAAGAGCACGTGCGCCGTGCGCATCTTCTTGTAGCCGTTCGGCGCGCCCCGGATTTAATAGAAGCTCTTCCGGATCGAGTGGCTACGCCTGAAGCAAAAAAAACGACGTTATGAGATCGAAAAATTATGAAACAGGAGATAAAAAATTTAGAAGCGATTAAATTACGATAAACAATTACGAGGCACTACTTTTATTCTCCCGCTAGAGTCCGGTTAATGGCATTTTTTCATAATGCCTTTAATAATTCGACAAATCCTACTATATATAAAAAAATAGTGTGTGTGTGTGTCTGTGTAGATTTGCATCCACTTCCGGATGTATGTTCCGCTCATAGCGGTTCATGGAAGAGGCTTTCCGGCATGTTTGATACGTCATTAGGTGCGTAATGGAGTGGAGATGACTGCCGACTTATCCTACTATATATAAAAAAATAGTGTCTGTGTGTGTGTGTGTGCCACTTTGCATCCACTTCCGTATCGTTGTTCCAGTCGTATCTCTATAGGGGAAGAAGTTAGGGTGGGTACGATACGTCATTAGGTGCGTCATGGTCTAGGGATGACTGCCCACATATCAGATTTATAAAAATCAGCCATTTTCGATATTAAATTTAAGTTTTTGTAAAACCCTCTTCGCTAGGAAAAATTAACATTGACCGGAAGTGGGGAGTCGTCTATATAAAGGGTCACAAGCGAATCATTTTCATTTTTTTGGTCATCCGAATTCAGCGCAATTATGCAAAGCGTAGAACAGCATGCGGTCTAAGACGGGGCCAGGGTTGAAAAGTCGCGAAGCGGCTTTTTCAACCCTGGTTAGTTTCTAAAATATACTATTTTCGACATTAAATTTAGGTTTTTGTGAAAGTACCTTTGTTAGGGAAAATTTGCATGCGCCGGAAGTGGATATCGCCTATAAAATCACTCCACAGAAGTGATTTATCGTTTTTTTTCAGCTGGATTCGGACAGAATATGCAAAGTATTTTTGTCATTGGACCTAGACGGGTCCCAGGGGTGAAAAGCCGCGAAGCGGCTTTTCAACCCTGGTTTAATTGATTATTTTTAAAGAAAAACCGATCGTGATAGATCATTTGCAATTTCGCTCCTCACCCTAAAAAAATGTTTCGCCTTCATGCGGCTATCCGCCAAAAAAGACTTTTTCAATCCCTCGATGGCAGATAGATGCCGTGAATTTTCTTGTTTTGGTGATTTTGCGTGATAAAAATCGTTAAATGCGTTTATTTCTTGTCCGGATTTTCAGTAGGGGGGACCTACTTTCTGTTTTTGCACCTATTCCTACCTGCTGATGATACTAATGTATTTTTATAGGGGGTTTTAGTCGTTTTCAGGGTTGTTCACCGATGGACCCGGATCGGTAAGGATCCGCTCGGATCCGGATCCAATGCGGATCCGAGGAAAAAAGGGACCGGAAGGAATATTCTCGATTCTGATGCTGATTCGGTCATGTTAATCGCAAAACTACATAGCCCAGAGGCAGAAATGATCTTTGCATCTAAGAATTAGCACTTAACTCGGTTGCATGATCCATTTCCTTGGATCCGGATCGGATCGGATCCACCCTGGATCTGGATCCAGATCCAGATCCGGATCCAGTCCGATCCGAAAATGACCAACCCTGGTCGTTTTCAATCCTAGAAAGTTATAAAAATTATTTTTTAAATTTGAAAATTCAAAATTTTTATCTTATTTTCGTCATTTTTATACATTTTGCGCAAAGTCAAACATTTTCGAAAAGCCTTATTTTTTATATCTAAAAAATATGTAAAATGCCAAAAAAATGGCTAATATTTTGTTATAGGGCCGTAGAGAATCACATGGAGAAATTTGGTTCCCCCCGCTAACGAACCAGAACCAGAGAAACTACGGAGAACCCCCCCGGGTAACGAACTAGGACCATTTAAACTAAAGGCAACTGGTTAGACTGGAGGAAAAGCGTATCGCAATGCTTTACGCAATCAACAAAACTGATATCAAACTAGCAAACGTAGAGTCATACAAAATCAGCCAAAATACGAGAGAAATTGTAGATGACCATTTCCGGAAGGCAGTTAGCTGCAATGTGGCTTTTCCACGATGGGATACACGGTCACTGATATGTGCTTCGCATCGGATAGGGGCTTCCGCGTCTCGATCCGCGCCGCGGAGCTGTCAAATCGTCTCGCCGGCCGGCGCGTAGAGGAGAGATCGCTACCCGCCCAGATCCCAGAATTCCTCGTCTCTTCCCCTCGGCCGACATACAAACACGACAAACACATAGATGGTGCTGCTGCCGAGTGGGGGTTTGGTTGGCGGAAGACGTGTACGTGAAATATGCCAGACTTCCGCTTCCACGCCACTGAAATTGGGTTAAAGCTAGGGCTAGAAAAAATCCGTTAAAGGGGAAGGCAAACTTTGAACTTATAAGAGCAGAAAGGACTCATAACTTGGTTTTCGTCACAAATCGGCCATCTTTAGTCGAAAAATTTATATCTTTCGTATTTTTAACGCTCTATATTCTTTGTATTTTGTAAAGTTTGTATGTTTTGGAATTGCGAAAACAGTTTCGAAACCCTAAAGGTTTTCGTCGAAAATCGGCGATTTCTGGTCGAAGAATCGATATTTTTCGTCTTTTTAATGCAAATTTATAAAGTTTTTTTGGGTTTTGCAATAGTAAAAACCGTTTAGAAACACTTATTAGCTCTAGAATATTGCAAAATTTCGACTAGTTAAAATCTAGCAGCAATTTTCGGAAAATCACCCAATCGATTCGAAAACTTTAGATTTTTGGGAACTTCTAAGAAATTTTTATAAAAAAATTAAAAGTTGTTATAAAATTTAAAGTTCAAAAAATGGTGAATAATCTATTTATTTGATGCACATTAACAACCGGGAGACTTGGAGCAAAAAAACCGAAAACAAGAAAAAGAAATACACGTTTGAACAATCGGTGGAGAGCAGGCGGCCCAAGCAGCAGCAGCAGCCAAAGGTAGATGCACAAAAAGAACTAAAGGGTACAGGGGTAGCATAGTGGATAGTTGATGTTTTATTTATCAAAATTCTACGCGACATGTTGGTTAGGCGACATAGTGATAGATGGTGCTGTCATTCGTGTCCCTCGTCATGTAGTCACGCTCGAGCAGTGAGGCCACCCGGTCCTTCACGTCCGTCGCCTTCACCGAGAAGCTGCAAAATGAAATTGTTATAAAAAGACCGGAAAATAAAGGTACTGTACTGTTAGCGGGGGGGAATCGATTTTTGTTCTTCCGCCTGCACATTGAACAATATATGATGTATTTTTATAGTATTTTAGTCGTTTTTGACTTCCAAAAATTTTCAAAATTTTCAAAAACATACGAGAATTCAAAACCTTGATATTTTTTGGTCTTTTAAATACGGTTTTTTTATTAAAACTCAAAAATTTTAGAAAACAATACGTTTTTACGAGCTTCTTCAATCTAAAAAAAATCTTTTTATTTTTCCGCCGATCTATGATCTATATTATGTATCTGTATTGCTTTTTAATATTTTTTGAATGCTCGAAATTGATTAAAAATATTTACAAATTCGAAATGTTGGCCGCTTTTTACAAAAAATAATTTTTCAAACATTTTGAAAATTATTTCTGAAGTTTTTACATCCAAAGCTTTGTAAAATGCTACTAAAATGGTTTATATTTCATGAAAAGGGTCGCAGTTGACTGCTGGGAAAACTTAGGTCCCCCGCTAACAGCTAAGTACCAAAAAATACGTACCGCAATTGGGCAAAGATCTCCTGCAACAGTTGCTGATGGGACAGCCGCTTCCGCGTCTTCATAATCCGCACCAGCGCCGCGTCAATTTGATATTGGCGATCCTGAGAGACCTCCTCTTCCACCTCCTTCTTTTCTTGGGGCTGAAAACAACAGAGTAAAATAGTTGTATCATCACTCACCGTTTCCTTCATTTGCACCTGCGAGATGCGGATACGGTAGAAGCTTGTCGCGAACTCGTCGTTCACCTCGAACACGTCGCCCTCGTTGACCTCACGGCCTTTTGGGGTCTTTTGCAGCACCTAAAAAGTGTAGATGATCATCAGAAGTCGTGCATCCTTATCTATCCTTATCTTCGCGATTTTATGGTTCTGGACTGTTAGCAGGGGGAGCCAAATTTTGCCCTGTGATTCGCTACGGCCCTACAAAAAAACATAAACCATTCTTCTAGCATTTTACATAGTTTTTAGATACAAAAATTTTTGACTTTGGTCAAAAATGTATGAAAAATCGTCAACAAAGGTCAAATTTTCGAGTTTTGATAATTTTTAAAAACATTTGTTGGAACTTTCTAGCCATCAAGAACTACTAAAACACTATAAAAAGAATACCTAATATATCAGAAACAGGTTTACACCCTGCTAACAGTCCAGACCTGATTTTTTAACAATCGAAAGCCACTAAAGCATACCATAAAGTCATGAAAAAGTAAAAAAAATGGTAATTCGTGACTTTTTTTGGTCGAGAACGTATTAAAAAATCATCTTAGAAGAGAAAAAATTTCTCTTTGAAAAAAATCATACCTTATGCTTGGCACACGCCAGAGACTGTAGCGTTCGCATCAGCTCTTTCCCTTCCAACTTCGTGCCCTCCAGAATCTCCTCATATTTCCAGGTGGGCTTCGAGTTGAAGAGGAGCAGAATCGTCGCCTGGTACAGCGACACTTGCAGCTCTTTCGCCTGAATTCCTGTAAACTTAAATTTGGGCAAAACGAACCCCCGGCGAGAAATTAGCCTTGAGCAACGCCTGGCCCAGCGAGTGCTGCCAGTTCAACTTCCTGCCGTTGTGGTTCTGGACGTAGAAGTCGTTGAAGTACTTCAGAGACTCGGCCAGTTCGTGCGGGACCACCAGCTGAAAAGGAAAGTTTTTTTACTAAAACACTAATAAAATAATTCGCATTAATTTTCTAAATTTTTAATTTCATTTAAAAATTAATTTGAATTAAAACATCAAGTGCTTAATTAAAAAGCTTGATTATACCTCTTTCGGCTCGTATTTAGGCCAGCTCCCCATCGTGAGCACGTGCACGCCAAGGTCGGGCTTGAGCGGGATGTTGTGAGCGGAAGCGTACTAAAAGATGCGATTTTCCTAGGACATAATTTTTCAAATATAAATCGCAGAAGTGTTTCTAAACTTTATTCTTTTGATAAACGTGAAAAATTGACAAATATTTATAAAAAGATATAAAAAACTGCGATTTTCGATCAAAATGGCCGTTTTTACCGAAATTTGTACTTTTTTAGTTGAAGTCTCAGGTATCTTTTACTAAAAAGACTATTAAAACACTTCCTGTTTAGTTACTAAAAATCTAGGCTTATAAAAAACCTCGCCGCTCCCCGATAATGGTAAAGAACCGAAGTTACTAAAGCCGACCTGTCTAAACGCCGTAATTAAGCCCGCCGACAGGTCCATATCCTTGAACATGCCCTCCAGCTTGTGCGTAAAGCCCGCGCCGCATTCTGCAATATATTTTTAGAACGCGCTAGAGAATGGTCAAACCTTGTCGCAACTTTTGCAGCATCGCCTTCTCCGCGTCGACGCTTGCCGAGCGGCCGAGCAGCAACCGCTTGGCCAGGTCCTTTTTGTAGAACGCCTCGAAGACGTCTTTGCCTAAACGAGAATATGGATTTCTTTTCCAAATGATGTTGCGACCGTTTCGAAACGTCATTTTTCGAAAAAGAACATAAAAAATCTGATTTAAAAATCCAATATTAAAAGAATTTTTAAGAAAAATTTTAAGATCTAAAAAAATTATAAAACTTTCAATGCTATCTCGTTGACTTTAACCCTTTTCCTATTCGCAACCAAGAAATTTCTTGAAATATGGTTTTTAAAAAAATAACTAGTTTTCGAAAATCTTAGTTTCGAAATTATCCTGAAAAAAAGCTCAAAACGTACCCTGGATGAAGCGGAAGATTTGCATGGCCTTGTGCATGGTCAGGTCCAGCTCCTCCTCGTTACTCTCCTTGTTCCCGGCGCGCAGTCGGGCGTCCATGAACTTCGCTGAAAAGAAAAATCAAAGAAAATTGAGGTGCGCGTACCAATAAGCTCGGCCGGCTTGACGGGGCGCGTGTTGATGAAAAAGTCAAAGGCGTCCTTCTCGGCCTGGGTGAACTTTTCGTCGGATTGGAAGGATTCGGTGATGCATCTACATCAAAATATTGAAAACTACTATAAAAACACCTGTCCATCTGCTCCTTGAAAATCATCAAATCCTTTACCATCGTCTCGTCGCGCTCTGGGTCGTTCACCATTGCGCGGCCGTATTTCTGAAAATACAGCATTTATAGCGTATTTTTAGTTTTCTAAAGTTATTTTTTACGTCCATTTTTGTGCTGTTTTAAATACTCTCTTTACCGATATCCGGATAGGCACGGTAAGACTGCGGTAGTAAAGGAAAATTTTAGTTGAAAAACTTGCTAAAAAAGCTTAAAATTTTGAAAAAATTGGTTTAGAACAACGCGATCTAGGAAAAATCATCGAAGATCGATCTATCAAAACCCTCTATCTAAATTCTATAAAACAGATTTTCACATCAACTACCTTGATCCACTCCGAAAATTCGGCCTTGAGAAGCAATAGCCCGGTCGGCACGTAGGCCAGCAATTCGTACATTTGGGCGAGCTGATCGAAAGCTCGGTTCTCAAGCAGACCGGCGGTGCCTAAAAGGAATGATTTCCGGGACCGAGTAAAATACCTTTTTTGACGAAAACGTCCATTCGTTGCTGGATCATCTGGGTCTCGAGAGCCGCAAAAAGTGGGAGACGTGTGCTCGGAAAGAGGTAGCCGTCAAGTCTGGAATTTTAAAATATAGCTTTCTTTCATCGTATTTGTTCCATCGCTTTATCGTATTCAAAACTGAAGAAAGTTTAACTTTTCAGAAAATGAAAAATACCAATGAAATTGAATGAACTCTCCTTATAATATCTTGACTTTTTGGTCACAATAACAAAAATAATACCTGGCCTTTTCCTCATTGATCCGGTTTATCGTGTGCTGGACGTATTCGTGGGCCTAAAACAAGGGATTTTCGTTACACAGAAAAAATCAACCTCCATCTCGCCGACCAGCCGCTCGCCCTCTTCTCGATAAAAGTCGATCGTTCCGAGAATGAATTGATTCTCGAAAAGCTGAGGGTAGACAGCCAATGTGGAAAGCATCCGTAGACATGATCGAAGCATCGAGGTATCCACCTAAAAGACTCTTGAAATCGAAGCCATCTGAAAGCTACCTGTTCTCGCTGCCTTTCCAAAGTAATCTGCTCGACGAGCACCCCGCCTACCCGCGATCCGAACCCGTAATGATCAAGGACCTAAAAAACGTATTTTTGAACCCTGAAAAATTCATTTGACACTGGTCTGTTAGCGGGGGAGGGGAATTTTGATTTTGATTTGATTCCTAGGAAGTTATAAAAAAACCCTTTTTGGCCATTTTTCATACAATTTGCACCAAAAAGTCACAAATTTTCGAAATTTTGTATTCTTTTTACACCTGAAAACGAAATAGAAAGCTAAAAAATGGTGTTTTTTCGTTATAGGGCCGCTATGTTAATGGCAACAATCTCATCCCCCCCGCTAACAGTCCAGAACCAAATTCACTTACAATTAAATGAAAAGTGTGCAGTCCGAGCTCGTTTAGCGTCTGCTTATTCCGATCGTGCAACAGGAAGTTACGATCCAAAACGGTGAAAATCGAGAGAATAGCGTCCTACAAACCATTAATTTTCTGCTGGAAGCGCTTACCAATTGTTGGCAATATCTTTCCCAGAGCCCATTTAGCGCGATGAGCATCGGGAGGCCGTGTGTGGCTTCCTGGCTTTTGATCTCCTCGCATTGAGCGTGTAAATAGGTTTTGATCTAAAGATCGAGTCAGAAGTAGGGAAATAAATTCACCATGGCATCCAATTTCTCGTATGTTTCAGCCGCGCAGCCGAGCGTACACAACGAGTCGACATTCTAAAAAAGAATCGACACGCCAAAACAATAAAAATATTTTTAACAGACTTTTTCTTTAGAAAAATTGCTGATTATTTTTATTTTGGTTTTAGTACCCGGCCATTTCAATCACTCATCTATACTTACGCGGTATAAATGTTCCAACGTCGACGACACCCCTCTTTGATTTTGAATGGCCTCAATGCTGTTAGCCAGGCGAGACCAGTTTGTCTCGAAAGTTTCTTCCTTAGTTGGCGCTGGCTCTGCAAAACACATTTTTGGTCCCGTACCTTTTAAAAAAAAACTCACTAGCACCGCCTTTCCTCTTAATCACCAGCTTCTTCGGCGGGCCCTTCTTCGGCGCGAAATGGAAGGCGGCCTAAAACAAATAAATTGCAGCAGTTCCAAAAATTCCCTTACAAAAGCTGGGTCGACCATCAGGTTCTCGTCCTTCAGCCGCGACTTGTAGCGCTCCTCGATGTCGTTCGAAAAACGATATGGGGAATCATCGATGTCCAATACCATGCCATCAAGGTCTTCGACGTCGTCGAAATCCTCCTCGTCTTCCATGGCGAGACGGGGCCTTTTCAACGGTCGCTCCACGGTGGACTGCAATAAAATAAAACTGTGGTCACAATCTGCGGTTCTTTCGCATTATCGGGGGGCGGGGGGCGACTTTTTTCTGGAGCTAAATTTTCAATCCTAGTAGAAGTGTTTCTAAACCGGTTTTTCTGCTATTCCTAAAACGCAAAAACTTTACAAATTTTTATAAAAATGACGAAAATATCGATTTCGCGACCCAAAAGGCAAATTCTCAATCAAAATGTCGACTTTTTCAAAGTTTTTGATGGGTGTTTTCTGGTTGAAGCCTAGTCTTACTAAAAACACTTCAAAAATAAGTTACCAAACATTTCTAGATTTTTATAAAAAAGTCCGGTCCCCCTCCATAATGCGAAAGTAACCAATCAGCATCCTACTATATATAAAAAAATAGTGTCTGTGTGTGTGTCTGTGTGCATTTGCATGCAACTTCCGTCAGGTTGTTCCAGTCGTATCTCAAGAAGGAGAGTAGTTAGGGGCATGTTTGATACCTCATTAGGAGCGTAATCGTCTGGAGATGACTGCACGCATATCAGATATATCAAAATCCCTTATTTTCGACATTAAATTTTGGTTTTTGTTGGAAAATCGGGGGCCCTCTTTGTTAGGAAACAATTAGCATACACCGGAAGTAGCGGTAGCCTATATAAAGGAGCAGAACGCGCATTTTTCATTTTTTTCAGCCTCGGTGGGCCACAATTATGCAAAATGAAGAACATCATAAGATGAGACGGGGCCAGGGTTGAAAAGTCGCGAAGCGGCTTTTCAACCCTGGTTCGAAATTAAACAAAAAAACTCTACGATGATTTAAACAAAATTTCGAAACTTTCTAAACAAACTCTGCAAAGAATTTATGTGAAGCCGATCCTCACAAAATTCTAATGTTTTTGCTTTGATTGCCTATCCACATTTTCTAACGCAATGATAGATAGAAAAGAAGGCGCGGTGGTAAAGTGCATATTTCATGCTCGTTTTTAGATTTTCACGCGCTAACCAAAAATGAGATCGCTCCAAACTATGAAAACCTGGGTCTCCCCGCTGGCACACTCTCTCACCTCTGGCTCGTGTTCGAGCCCCAAGGGCTCAACACACGCCACGGCAATGGTTAGCTGGCTGGCTGGATACAAAACTAGTTGGAAAAGAAAAACCTTTCTATCTAGTTTTTTTAATAATAAAGTTGTAAATATTCGTATTAACGTTAGGAAACGAATAAACAAAGTGTGTCACATCAAAATCCCGAAAATTTACATCTATTCTAACTAGACTATCATAATTTTAGAAAGAAAAATATTTCAGCAAGCAAAATATATCAAACTTTCTTTTCCCGGCAAAAAAATTGCCATTTTTATACGCGAGGCAACCCAAAACTTACAAATTATCGTAATTTGGTGTTCTGTGTAGCTTTACTTTTTGGCATTGCGTAAACTTTTTTAAAAATAAATTATTTTCTTCGCGTAATTTCTCGATATTTTTTCGCTGATAACTCCATTTTCACTAATAACTTGTAAACTTTATTTTCAGATGGCCGCCGACGGCGACTCGGCGCACATCCTGCTCCTCAAATGCATCGACGAGGGCCGAGTGGACGTCCTCTGCTCCATTCTCTCGCAATTGAGTAAGTTTTTTCCGAAAAAACTCTTTGTGATATCTTCTTACAGCCTTGCTAGGTTCTGGTGAAACGCAGAAACGTTTTGGCGGCCCTCAAAAATGGATATTTTCAGAAACACAGCCAAATTTCCACGATGAGGTAGATGGGATCTTGAAGAATGGCGGTACGCTTCTACACCATGCAGTGGCAATGGGTAAAAAATACTTAAAAACCGTGTTATTTTCTTCTTTAGATAGTGTCGACGTGATCAACGCCTTGCTGAACAATGGCGCGAACCCGTGCGTGCAGAATGACCAGGGAAAAACGGCGTTTCAGGTTTTTAGTTAGATTTTTTTTTAAACTTCAGGATTTTAGATGTGTTGCTCGGACCCGGCGAAGAACGCTTTCATCCAGGAAATTCTACGAGCCGTCACGATGAGCAAGTAAGGATATGATGGAGCGTTACTTCGGTTCTTTCGCATTATCGGGGCTAGAAACTTTTTTTCAGTCGAGAAAGGCCTGGTAACTTAATAGCAAGTGCTTTTAGTCAACCTAACCATATTTGACTATTTTTTGAAACTTTGAACCTTTGAAAAATCGAAATTTTGTTAAAGATCGGCCATTTTTGCCAAAAATCTGTATTTTTGGTAATTAAAAAAAACCTATGCTAGGAAAAGGTCGGACCCCTCGATAAAGCGCAAAGCATCGTTAATTTTTTAAACAACCGAAATTAACGGCAACAACTTTTTTAGCACTGGCCGTGTCTGCCAGCTGATTTCCTGCGGCGTTCCAGTCGATTCGTTTGACATGCCTTCGACCAAAAACAGCCTCCTCAACTGGGCAGCCGATTTTGGGACCCCGGAAATTGTTCGGTAATGCTTTGTTGTATTTTTAAACGAAATTTTAGAACCCTGTGCGACTCGGGGGCTTCCGTCAACTTGGAAAACGCTAAAGGCGAAACACCACTACACGCCGCGGTGAGGAAGGGGAGCGAAGATATCGTCAGGCTGCTGCTGAGCTACGGCGCTGATCCGACGAAGAAGAACAACAAGGTTGGGTTTTTCGGGACGAGACGAGCTTTTTGGATACTTGAACTTTTACGTTGTTTTGATATTTTTTGGCCATTCCTGACCCTAAAAAAATTTCCAGATTTTTGTTAGTTTAGTCTTTGGATTCAGGTCGAAAAATGTATTTTAGTTGATACAAAATGACCAAAATGTTTCAAAGAGTTTCAAATCTTTTGCAATTTTTTCGCGATTAATTTAGCCGTGAATTTCAGTAATTTTTATTACCGATATGAAAGGCCAAAAACACTAGTATTCGCTTACTAGGCCGGTCCGGACCGGTAGAAAAAGAAACCAATCCACCAGTTTTTAAAATTTATCAACTTTTTTAGGGCGAGGACTCCTTCGCGATCGCCGCAGCCAAGGGTGGTGCGCTGACCCCGTTGCTGAGTGTTGACACGTAAATTATCTACTTTTTAAAATAAAATAACTTTTTAGGGTGACGCGCGGCGTGCGGCGTAGCGCTTCGGTGGAATCGCTGGAATGCGACAGGGCCTCAATTATAAGCACCGAGACGTCGGCCGCAAACCTGTTCGCAAATGACAGGTGAGAGCGGGGTTTTCTAGGACAATGCTGGAGGGCTGGAAAGAGAAATCAAGCTGATTTATTTTAGAAGAAACTGATGAAAGAAAAACTGAGTTTTTTCATGAAAATGGAATTTTCTAAAAAATAGAGCGGGTATTTTAAGCGGCCGCTTACTGTACCTAAATTTGAGACAACACATTTTAAACAAAATATACAAAATTTTAGACTTTTCGAGCAAGAAAATATAGCGTTTCCGGCCAAAATTTCAGTTTTGATGAAGCTCTAGTGTTTTCTGATTATTTTTCCCGTTGAAATATATTGGATAGCAATCTTACTAAATCTGTAAACAAAACTCCCTTTCAGGTCGTCAACATTTGTCGCCGGACGGCTCGACTCGTGGACCGACCTGCTATGGCCCCAACCGACACAGATCCGCATTTTCTCGCAGAGCCGCTCTTTTCAATTGCCCAAGGATGGCAGGTATTCAAGATTTAATCAATAAGTTTGACAATATTCATTTAGGTTAAAAATCTACTTCGACGACGCGTCCGAGGGCGAGCCCCGCCAAATGATGCAGGCCATTCAGATCAGCTCCCCGCTTCTACAATCCGTTTCTGTCGAATTGGAGTACCGAGGCCATAAGGTAGTTTGATTGTTTACTTTTTGTAGGTTTCGAAGTTGGACGTAGCAATTCGAGGGTTATTTTCGTCAGTTCTGTCTTCAGCGATATCTTGATTTTGATACAGGATTTTTAAAAGCTTTTTCCAAAAATGTTCATTTTTCAAAAATTTCAAAACGCAAAACAAAACAAAGACTTTTACAGTCACGTTGTAACCTTACCGAGACGTAGAGCTATAAGAATTTTGAAATTAAGCTGTTTTCCGGCTTACTTACTTCCGGTTTTCCGGCTGTGAAAATTTTGTTTTGGAAACTACCATAATTTTTCACAACGTGTTCGGCTTTCCCCCGTTTTTTAAGCGTTTTAAAACGCCTTTAAGCACTTTAAAACGTTAAGCTATACGAATTTTAAGGGTATTATATTTCCAGCGCGACAACCATAAATGTTGCCTTTGAAACAGAGTTTTGCAAATCTTCTTCAGTTTACCCGGTTAAACACACGTTTAAGCATTTAAAAGCGTGAAACTATGCGATTTTAACGTATAATAATTTCCATTTTAGACGGCCGACCACGAGAACTCGCCACTCGACGGGAAAGTGCTCGTCGGCGTCTACAAAGACGGACGACCGACTGGATCATATTGCTTGTCGATCGAGAATAATGGAATTGAGATCCAGGTTCTTATTTTTGCACTTTAAGATTGATTTAAAAATGCTTTACGCATTATTTTAAATTTATCTGTTTCAATGTTTTTTTTTACAACCGATTACACCACTTTTTAGGCAACCGATTACGCCGGGGTGCGCTACGGGTTCGCGACGCTGGTGCAGATACTCCGGATTCACAAGTGAGCCTTTATTTCCCAGCTTTAAAAAATATGATTGAGATACGGCGCCAAGCTTCCGGATGAGAAGGCGCAGAACGGGCACGTTAATGGGAATTCTGCCTCGCCGAGCGCTTCTTTGAACGGGTGGGGTAAAAAATTTTGAGGAGTTTTCACGGTTTTAATCAATTAAAATAGAGGTCAATGAATCAGGAAATGTTTTTATACATTTTAGTTTTCTTGAATATAAGAGCTACAAATTAAACAAATTCAAAATTATTGATTTCTCGACTAAAATTATACGTTTTTATCAACTTTCTGGGTAGTTTTTTTTCCATTAAAATCGCACCGAAATTTATGCGAATAATTGACAACACTTTTCAGGTCCTTCCAAACCCCCGGCGAGATCCCTGATCTTCTCCCATCCGGCGACATCCCGGCGATGGTGGTCCGTGACTGCCCATCCCGAACTTTCCGAGCCGTCTACCAAGACTTTAGCGGATGCCGAATCCTGAATACCGAAACGGTAACTTGGCCTAACTTTGCTCACCCTGGCCTTCTTCAGGTCCTCCAGATGGCCACCCGGCTCAGCTACTGCAAGGCCAACTATTTGTTCCTGAATTTTGAGGCGAGCTTTCACCATTTTTTTTAAAAAATGGAGGGTTTTTTTAGGTCCGGACGACCGATCGCTATCAGCTGCCCTACACGAACAGGGACCTCTTCCACATGCTCCAAGTCTGCGACGAGCTTTTTATCAAGGTTCGTTGGGATTGCGGGCTTTTCTTTAGGCGAGAGCACCTTCAAGCTAGCTTTTTTCAGCTCGTCCCTTCGCTGGACCTCCAGTCTTCCTACATCGAGCCCCCAGCTGCCCGGCGCATCATCGACCAATTCCTGGACGATTTCCCGCTCTCTAACACCGCCCATTTTGGCCCGAATCTCGCATCGATACTTGTAAGTTTTTTTGAACGGAGAGGTCCTGCAGGTCATTAAAATACCTGATCTGGTAAATTTGGAATGTGGCTCCTTATATTTCTCGTTTATAGGTAGCAAATCGTGCCGTCCTCGCCTCCGTGCAACGCCGAGTACCCACGATTTTCCTGTCCGTCGACGTGGACGAAAAGAATGCGGCCCATGTAAGGATTTACTTGTTTTAAAAGGGGCAGAAAAGGAAGAGCCGGAAACTAGAATTTTTGGTGACCAAAAAAACCTAGATTTCAAATTTCAGGAAGCTTTGAAAATTTTTTAGAAATGTTGTGAAGAAAAGCCAAGCTCTCGCTATTTTTTTTAGGCTTACAAGTACACTTTTTTTTGAGAAACATCCTAGTTTCGAGCAGGACGGGCCTATCTTGTGCAGAATTTTGCGTTGATTTTGGATCTGTTTTCAAACTTGCTCGTCGTTTTCAAAAAGTTACGGCTCGGTTTAGATAAAAATCTCTGAAAATCGTTCTTTTCTAGTGAAAAACCATTAATTCCCCGATTTTTTTAGCTCTCCAAAGTGCCGCCCTACGTCACCCTCTGCGTCGAGGGGAAATTCCCGTTTGATGCGGAACGACTGCTCTCCCCGCGGGTATCAATCGTGCTAAAGGTAAGTAGTCGCTCCAAAGCTCGGATAAAATTTTTTCCAGTTCGCCGTCGGCGACGAGGGCCATCTATGCGCCGCCCCGGACTCTACGGCCAAGAAAGCCCTACTCGCCGCCAAGCTCTCCGACAAGCCGCACGTGCTCGGGAATATGGTGTGCGAGCTGTCGACGGGATGTGAGATTATGCCCCCATCACTCTCGTACATGCCTCTGTTGGCTGCTGTTGGAGTCAGCTGGAATACACAGGTAAAGTTTTGACTGGATAGAATGAAAACTGCTTAAAAATTTATTTTTGGCGATTTTTGGTCAAAAAATCTGTTTTTTATCGAAAAAATCATCATCTTCTTTAACTCCACCTACTGAATTCTGTTTTTCAGACGGATATGCGGAAATTCGCTTTCCTCCTACCCTCGATCACCGCCCATCACTTCCTGTTGGATGGCGACATGACGCAGTTATTCGAGCAGGCCTCGACTCTCGGGCGGGTTGAACATACGTTAACTAGGTGGGTTTTGGGCTTCTGGGGTATTTATAGTAATTAGGAAGATTTCGAGATAGTTAGTAGCTCCTACCAGGTAGATAATTTTTTTTCTGATCAGTAAATTTCCAAAAAATATTTACGGATTTTTTTACGCCTTTTTACAAAGAAATGCAGAATTGCACTTCTATAGCTAAAAACATCTTGAAACACCTATAAAAACAAAGTTAATCGAAATTCTAAGGGATTTTCATGTTTGTTTTTTTGCTGTGATTTCGTAACCTATAGCTTTTATAAATGGTCAATTTCATAAAAGTTGATGATCTTTAGCAAAAACGCTGCTTCTTATAGGCGTGTTTCGGAATTTCCTGGACTTTGAAAGTATTTAGACATTTGAATGACAGGCCATTAATTCGTTTTAGTTCATAGGCGCTTATGCAAGAGCTTTATTCTGGACAAAGCATGTTACGAAAATTGTTTCTAGATACAACCTCGGCCTCTGGAAGCCGTCGTCGCCCGACTTGGATTCGTTGCTGAAAGATGAGGTATGGGAAAGATACCTTTATAACGTGCTCCTCCCATTTAGCTGTCCACCAAGATGAAGACGTCCATCTCGGTCTTCGTCGAGATCATCCTCAACCCGGAGAATCTGCAGCTCGATCGATTGACCCCGGCCATATTCAAGGTTTGCATTTGTTTTGCTGGGTTTTGAGTCCTTAATTCCAGAGAGCTCGCGTCGAGCTGCGCAAGAGCGCGCGCGCCTTGGACGAGGCGCGGAAGAGCCTACCCTACAATTTCGAGCTGGCGTTGGTTTTGGCGGAGATTCGCCTCGCCACCGAGCTATTGGGGTTGGCGTCGAGGTACGAGATTCGACGCCGCCTTTCTAAGAACTTTTCAGGCTCGGCCAATCCTTGTGCATCCACAGCGTCAGCGCGCACTACGGCAGCGAGGCCGAGCGCAAGGTGAGAACGGGTTTTCGGAATTTTATTCCGTTTTTAGCGCTCAAGCGATGGGCCATGGATGGGCGCCTCGCCTGGCCGTGTCGGCGTCTCTCATCTACCGCTGACGATCCGGACGGATCTGGCGAATCAGTGGGTTTTTACATATTTTTGCTTTTTTTATAAATTCGCTCGTTTTCATCGTTTTCTAGAGGTGCTCTAGATTTTTTAAAATTTGTTGGTATTTTTACAGGTTTTCTAAGCATTTATTATTGGTCAAAAGTCTTAATCGTTTTGTTTAGTAAACGTTTCTAGAGATTTTCTATTTTTAGGCATTTTCTTGATTTTTGAAGTTATTAATTTAATTTAATTTAATTAATTAAAAATACATTTAAAAAATTTAAAATGTCTGCAATTAATTTAATTTAATCATTTTAATTCTAGCGTTTTCGTTGATAGTTTTATCTATCTTGTTCTTTTCCCTGATCCTTGCCTAGAGTTTTCCCAGTTTTTAGGGGGTAATTTAAGATCCCACTCTTTCTAAAAAATTTTCGTAGACTTTCTTCCTAAAAACCGTCCGATATGAATTTTCGGCGCGAAATTCCCATTTTCCAGGCTGCTGTCGATCCGCGCCCAGTTCCAGCACGTCTGGCTGTCCCGCTCGATGCCGTCGACGTTGCCGAACGCGATGAAGATGTTCAACAACCTGTTCAAGGCGCTCCTCCCGCCCGACATGCACGAGTACGGGCAGCAGCTGCTCTAAAAATTACTCGTTACGCCTTTTACATTCCCCCAGTCTCTGTAAAAATTAGTTTACGTGCTCGCCGTGATTCTACAGTCCCCCATTCCCCGCATAACCAAGATTGTGTGTTTTTCGGTACTGGGCTGTTAGCGGGGGGGGGGGGGGGCTAATTTTTTTTGATGATGCCCGTGCATCGCTATAGCAAAATATAAGATTTAAGCAGTTTTAGATGGAAAAAGCATAAAAATGTTCGACATTTTTGAATTTTTGGTTGAAAAAAGTCACGAAAAGGGGCAATATGTAAAAAAAGGGTTATATCTTTCTGGCAACCAAATTATTGAAAAAACTATAAAGAGAAATTACATTTTATCAATAGGCGGAAAAAGAAAAATTAGTTTTCCCGCTCTGCTAGCCCTGCCCCCCCCCCCGCTAACGGCTCAGTACCCGTTTTTCAGGCTTGTCTAATGCCGAAAAGTGTCTCTTATACGCCTACTAGTTTATAAGTGCCTATGCCATGTAATCTACCACCATCTGTGAAAAACCATATAGTTAAAACGCGAATTCTGCCTGTCCTCTACTCCGCTTGTGTGATATATCCCGTACCCAAATGTGCCTCAACCACCCAGCCCGTTTCTGTGATATAATAAACCACACACCCTCCCCCAAATATCCCCCACTTTTTGTGTTTCCTTTTGCTTCTTTTTAGCTTTAATCCCGCCCCTCATCTCTTTTGCCTTGTAATTTATTTGTGGCCTCGGCTGAATCGGATTTGCCACACTTCTGGGTATCACATTCTCTTTTTGGGGCCAAAATCGACCGTCTGTGTTTTTGCGCGCTTGCAACTGTGTTAGTGGGCTTTTTTCGGGCTTTCCGCAATGCTTTTTCTGTACTTGATAAAATATTTATTTTCATCGTGTTGTGCGGGGATTTTCCTTTTAAATGGAGTTGAATTATCTATCGTAATCACGATAGTACTGAAATTAAAAGTTCAGTTTTCAAGCGACGCCGATTTATGGCTGAATCCTTTAATTTTATTAAGAAAAAAAATATCGATATTTTAGGCTATATCCCAACGATGCCCAGGCATGAACGGCGCAGCTCTAGGAGTCCAAAGTATGTTTTTCCATTACTTTTCACCTTTTTGGAACGGTTTTTAGTTGCTAGGCGACGATTATTATCTAAAATGTCGTAGTTTTTGATTAGTTTTGTAAGAAAACAGCTTTTAAACCTCTAATATCGTTGTATTCTTAGACGTGACCGGTCGCGAGATCGCCACAACCGACGCCGCTCGCGCTCCAGGGATCGTGATCGTCGTGACAAGAAATCGGCAAAACGCGAATACGAGGATGAGCCGGAGAAGAAGGTGGCTGTCCCATTTTGATTCACTTATTGGTTTCAGGTGGTCGATTTGCGGCAAAAGCTGCGCGATGGGCTCGCCTCGGCCAGTGTCTCCTTGGCTGCCCGAACCGCTACTTCGACAGTAGTGCAAGACGGTGAGTTCCGTTACGCTTTTTGTCGCTCGGGCGCCAAGCGGGCCTTTATCGAAACGATTCGGGTATAAAAAAATGTTTTTTTTTCAGACGAAGTAACACTAGACGAGCGCGGCAACCTCTCACGTGTGCGACAAATCGAGGCCATTGACTCGGAGAGTCCATTCCGACCCAAGCAATTCAAGTCGACGGCCGGCGGCGGTGGCGGAAGAGCGTACGGGGATAAGGTAAATTTAAACGTTTTTAGATACCGTTTTCGGATCAAATCGTTTCGATCCCATTTATCCAATTTTTGATTAAATTTTTGTTTTCTCACGTGTCTGTAACTCTCCAAATCTCCTTTTCCAGAAACAACAACCATCGAAAGCTCAGAAGGCGGCAAAGAAAGAGGACGCCCACGAGGACTCCATTTTCGGGCCCACCAAGCCGCAGACGCTGGCCGATATTGCGGTGCCGAAGGAGCCGACGCAAGAGCCGCAAATGGTCTTTCATCAGGATGTGAGTCAAGAGAAGCTTTAGCGTTTTATTCCTAAACGTAAACACTTTACAATTTTTTATTGAAAAATATAGATTTTCGTCCAAAGACTGATTTTTTACCAAAATCTCGACTTTTAAATTTTTTCCACTGTGTTTTTGCTGCTCCTTTCCGCATTGGAAGAATTTTAACTTTCGTTACAGCTATCCGCCGACCCGAAGATGCGCGAGGCTCGCTGGCTGGAGCTGTGGAAGGAGCGCCGGATGCGACACGGCGTCTGTTGAAGCTCGGAAAGCCGAGCGATTAGTAAATTCTGTATTTATCATTGTTCTTTATTTGTTGTCCTCCTCAATGATGTAATGTATTTGGTGCGATATGTTGTCGACAAAGATCTCTCATCACGATTTATTTGCCGGTTTCGATGGGTTAACGGTCTAATAAAGGCACAGAATAGTAGGCAGTAGCACGGGGCGTGGAGGGGTACGGTAGATGAGGTAGTGGAGGAAAAGTGAGATGATCAGAGGAGTGTTGTGTTTTTGTCAGCATCGAGTAGGTCATCATTTTTGGACGGCCGGGCGGATCGGTGGTCCGCGTCACTTGGTCGTCTCGTTCGGGTGGCTGACGCCTGGAATGGGGGCGCTTTTTAGGAATTCGGATTGGGCAAGCTAGCAGAGATTGATTAGGAATTTTGGGGAGGTATAACTATTATTATTTCATTTAGTTAGTAGCGGAAATTCTCTGAAACCTTTTTTTACTATTTTTATGTTGCTTATTTTATTGCTCCAAATGGTAAAAACAAAATAAAAGCCTTAGAAATTTATGTCCTGTATTGGCAGGCTAGCAGAAATTGTTGGGGAAACTTCTGTTGCAGTTTCTAAGCCCTAAATTTTACGTTTTGCATCCTCCTGTCCTAATCCTTGGGGCGCAAAACTAAAACCCTGAGAAAAGTTTTTAAGGTTTGCCACGCATTTTATTAGCAAATTTAGGTGAATCCTACTAGATTTAAACTAGGAAAACTATCTAAAAACGTTTTGGGAACGACGAATTTTGGTCAAAAATGTCTAAAAAAAATTATGTTTTTGCTTTTTAACGAAGTTTTGTAATATTTTTGTGTTTAGTGTTCGTAAAAAAATTTGCAGGAAAACTTTCTATTTTTATTATAAAGATTGTATCCATAGAAAAGAGCCCCGCCCCCCCCCCCCCGATAATGGAAAAGAACAGTCTTTTTTGTTGGCAGACTAGCAGTGAAAATTTAGGAAATGACCCACTGAATTTGGCGGCGAGGCGCGGGCGCCGCGAGCGGGTCGGCTGCATTGCTAAAAAAAAGTGAATCTAGGCTCTAGAATTTTTAAAGTACCGCTGCAGGTGGAGACGGCGTGGGTGGCGCCACTTTTCGACTGACAACTCTTCACCTCTTCCGGTCTAGAAAGATATAGGAAGGAGGATTTAACAATCTAAAAGCCCCTAAAATTAATTCTTAAAGAAACTAGGATTAAATAAAAAAGCCGGAAACATACCGGGCCTTGGCGAAGAACTTCTCGAACTCGCGCAGCGTGTGGAGGGCGTACGAGTCGATCTAAAGATTGTATTAAAATCGAGCTCGTTAAAAAATCCTTCAAAATCTTCAAAGCCTAACCCTGGTGACGGCCGGGTCGACGACGTGGCAGAAGGCCGTCTCGGCGCCGCCCGTCTTGGCCATGTAGAGGAAGAAGAGAAAGAACGCCTGGGAGGATAGGGCTTAATTAACTTTTTTAAGCTTATTGAAAACTAAATAAATAAAGATAAAGCTTAATTACGATCAAGCACCTGAAGCTATAATTTGGGTATTTCGAAAACATGTTTCAGTACAAGCCGAAGTTCAAAGAAACCATATAACCGTAGTAACTTGTATCGATGCTCTTGTTATCAGGCATGCTTCAGCAAAAGGGCTTGGCAAAGAATTAAGTTAGCTCGCAATCCAGTGCGGAGGAAAGTTATCAAAAATTTAATAAATTGCCAACCAATTTTAACTGGATGTAAGAAGCGTTTTCCCTTCACTTAAATCACAAAATGATTGCTTCATTGTGAAAATAGCAAAGATAAAAAGTAACATATGCCTAAAAACCCCAATAACACGTTTTAGCAAAAATATGCTTCAACATAAATGGTCGGCAAAAAATTAAGTTAGCCGGCAGTCCCGTCAACAAAGGCAAACCACAAAAAAATTCTAAAAAATGTCATTAATTGTCAACTCATTTTAACCGAATATAAATTGCGCTTTCACCCACTAAAATCACAAACTACAATCTTATAAAACAACTACAAGACTTAAGGCAGAAAAGGTACCTTGAAAATGTAGTAGATGGGGAAGGCGTGGATGAGGGGCCAGAAGAGGCCCTCCAGCACCGCGTGGGCTCCTGGAAAAATAGGTAAAAAATCGAGTCGTTTAAAGTGACGAGCAAGGCCAAATCCCCGCAAAATCCATAGCTGCCCTGCCAGTCCCTTTAAAACATTCCGCACTACAACACCCACCGAACACTGTCCAGTACCGTAGCCAGAACGTGTCCTCGCCCTTGCCGGGGGAGCGGATCGCCTGGAAAAAGCGCGTAATCTTTTCCTCAAGAATCTCTGCTAGTACTCCTGGATTCCGAAGCACTACGCAGGCGTAAATAATACCTTGACGGAACGGTAGGCCGGGTACAGTACTCCGACGACCATGCAGATCAATGGGGCCATCAGGCTGACGAATCGGAGCACAAGGAAACAGCCGATGCCCACCGTCCACTGGAATGGAACGGAATGTGAGAGAAACAGGGAGAGAGACAGCGAGAGAGAGAAAGAGAGAGTGTGCGAGAGAGAGCGAGAGAGCGAAAGAGAGAGAAAGTTAGAGAGACAGAGAAAGATTGAGAAAGGGAGCGAGCGAGATATAGAGAGAGAGAGAAAGCGAGAGAGAGAGAGAGGGTGAGATAGAGAGCGAGAGAGGGAGAGAGATATTAAGATCCGGCTCACCACATTGACATAATCGAGCGGTTGCTTCCCTCCTGACGTGGGCCACGACCACGGGTCCGCTCTTGGCCGTCTCGACGCTGGGGGCTGGCTGGCTCGTCGACTGGACGGTTACGGTAGTCGGTTTTATTGCAATAAAACACCGAGATAACAGCTTAAATACCTCACCAGGAAAAATCCAATTCGAGGGGTATTTCAATAAAAATATGTTTCATCCAATATACAAGCCGAAGTTCAAAGAAACCATATAACCGTAGTAACTTGTATCGATGCTCTTGTTATCAGGCATGCTTCAGCAAAAGGGCTTGGCAAAGAATTAAGTTAGCTCGCAATCCAGTGCGGAGGAAAGTTATCAAAAATTTAATAAATTGCCAACCAATTTTAACTGGATGTAAGAAGCGTTTTCCCTTCACTTAAATCACAAAATGATTGCTTCATTGTGAAAATAGCAAAGATAAAAAGTAACATATGCCTAAAAACCCCAATAACACGTTTTAGCAAAAATATGCTTCAACATAAATGGTCGGCAAAAAATTAAGTTAGCCGGCAGTCCCGTCAACAAAGGCAAACCACAAAAAATTCTAAAAATGTCATGAATTGTCAACTCATTTTAACCGAATATAAATTGCGCTTTCACCCACTAAAATCACAAACTACAATCTTATAAAACAACTACAAGACTTAAGGCAGAAAAGGTACCTTGAAAATGTAGTAGATGGGAAGCGTGGATGAGGGGCCAGAAGAGGCCCTCCAGCACCGCGTGGGCTCCTGGAAAAATAGGTAAAAAATCGAGTCGTTTAAAGTGACGAGCAAGGCCAAATCCCCGCAAAATCCATAGCTGCCCTGCCAGTCCCTTTAAAACATTCCGCACTACAACACCCACCGAACACTGTCCAGTACCGTAGCCAGAACGTGTCCTCGCCCTTGCCGGGGGAGCGGATCGCCTGGAAAAAGCGCGTAATCTTTTCCTCAAGAATCTCTGCTAGTACTCCTGGATTCCGAAGCACTACGCAGGCGTAAATAATACCTTGACGGAACGGTAGGCCGGGTACAGTACTCCGACGACCATGCAGATCAATGGGGCCATCAGGCTGACGAATCGGAGCACAAGGAAACAGCCGATGCCCACCGTCCACTGGAATGGAACGGAATGTGAGAGAAACAGGGAGAGAGACAGCGAGAGAGAGAAAGAGAGAGTGTGCGAGAGAGACGAGAGCGAAAGAGAGAGAAAGTTAGAGAGACAGAGAAAGATTGAGAAAGGGAGCGAGCGAGATATAGAGAGAGAGAGAAAGCGAGAGAGAGAGAGAGGGTGAGATAGAGAGCGAGAGAGGGAGAGAGATATTAAGATCCGGCTCACCACATTGACATAATCGAGCGGTTGCTTCCTCTTGACGTGGGCCACGACCACGGGTCCGCTCTTGGCCGTCTCGACGCTGGGGGCTGGCTGGCTCGTCGACTGGACGGTTACGGTAGTCGGTTTTATTGCAATAAAACACCGAGATAACAGCTTAAATACCTCACCAGGAAAAATCCAATTCGAGGGGTATTTCAATAAAAATATGTTTCATCCAATAGCCAAGAAAAAACTGACAAAACGCAACTAATATTGTGATACATGAAGCGATGATACTGTCGACGAGCTGAAGCGCCAAATAAAAATCCATTTTCAAAAAAATGTTTCGTTGAGTTGTAAAGCTTAAATTTTTCCGTGAGGTCTAATTGAATCCTCGTGGTTACTGGAAAATTGTCCACAATACCAAAGTGGCGGCGAGCGCTTGCAGCACGGCCGTGGGCACCTCGACATGTTGCACTTCCTCGCTCTCTTCAGTCTGCAAATGGGCTTTATAATTTTTTATTTTTAAAATAGTTGTTCAAAATAAACGGAATACGCTACTCAGAAATTAGAATAATCGATACATTTTCGAAAAAGGACCTGTATCACAGTGGGCTGCTCGTAGGTGACCTCGCCGGACATCCTCGGCAGGTCGCGGGGGTTTGTAGGAAAAGGATACCACATTTTTCGCCTAAGCGCTGCCTTTTTGCGGCCGATCTATGCAAAAGTTTCGATGCTAATTTTTGGCGTGAAAATTATCTCGGCTAAATTCCAGATAACCCCCCCCCCCCCCCCCAGCCGACCCCCACCTACCATATCTCGGCTCCCTGTTCATCTACTGGTGTGTAAAGTATACCAAAATACTCGGCACAGCAAGACAAACATTTTGGCATACTTTACCCACCTGTAGATGAACAGGGAGCCGAGATACAAAAGTTGGGTGCCGGCTGGGGGTGGGGGGGGGGTATCTGGAGTCTTATTATTATCTCGGCTAATTCAGATTCTGTAAAAACAAATTTTCGGTTCTTCAAAATACTCGTGGTTTTCATTCACTGGTTTTCATACGAATTTTTGCCCTTAACAATTCGCTGGACGTCTAATTCATGATTTCACAAATTAGGTAATTCTCGATGCTTCAAAATGCCTGGCAAAATTCATTTTTTAAAACAAATTTTCTTCCTAAAAAATAGCTAGCCTAAAAGTTCGTGATGTTTCAAATACATTTTTTACTCAAGACACAGCTCGTGGGCCAATTCCCGACCGGTGATTTTTTTAACTTTCACTTAAAAAAATGCTGGCCGGCTAATCCGCTATTTTGAGAATAGATTTTCGATCCTGGAGAATATTTGACGGAGCAATTCTCTATTTTTTTAAAATTCCTGAAGCTTTAAACCCAATTCGCGTCGATTCAAATAATGTTTCGATGCTTCAAATTACTTGGCGAGCTAATTCCATACCAACTCAAAAACATCAAAAAATGCCAGCCACTGAATTTTTCTGGTTTTTAAACATTTACGGAACACACTTTTTTTACAAACACCTCCAAGAAATAACAACACATCATCTGGGGGACACCCGCATTTGCATAAAGCGCACGATGGAAAAGAAAGGAAAAGTAGGGGTGGAAAACAACAATAAAGCCACAGAAAAATACAATAAATATTATTACAGTAGGCAACAAAAAATAAAATAAAATTATTGTTAGAGAAGAAATAAGATTATAATAAAAGCAAAAAAGCTCAACATAAAAGGCATAATATCAACAATAAAAGGAATTGTACACCGGTTAAATAGGGCATATATTAAAACAAAAACATTTCTCGTAGACTAGGAGATACGGCAGGGAATATTGGTGGTTTTCTTAGATTTCATTGGAATTTTTATTGATGTAATGTTAATTTTTACTGCTTTTTGGTTTTGAATATCTAATTAAATTTTTGGCTTAAATCAACTATAATAATTTTGTTGTGGTCTCTGTCCGTCTGAACCCGAATTCAACTCGAAGGGGAAAAGAGCTAGAGCTTAGCTCTCTTCGGATTCGGATAGAGCGCCGTCAGAAACCCCCAAACTGATAAAAAAATTACGAAAAAGTTTTAGTTTAAATTATTAAAATTAACTTTGAAAGTGGCGCCTTAATAAAACGAGTGGGGGCCCCTCTCCCGGGAGGTCACGACTCCTTTCCCTTCGCCCCTCTTCCCCAGGCCCCTTCGCGCGCCCAGATGGCTTTCTTAAGTTACTTTAATACTTTAATACTTTTTAATTATGTTAATTAATTATTTCAATCAGGAAGGTATTTAGGTAGTTTTTGAAGGGGATTTCGGCTATGGGGGGGGGTATTGATGAAGGTGGGAAAGGATGTGGTGGAGTGGGACATGTAGGAAGGCCCGAAGGCCAGATGGTTGCAGTCGCGAAGCGACTGGAACCATCTGGTTCTAATATATTTTTACGGGATTGCCGTAGATTGAATTAACGTTCGTAAATTTTTCCTTACCGGAAAATGTTTCGAAAACTTATGAAGGTAGTTTTGCGAAACCCGGATAATTGCCTTCAGCGTTTGTGGATGATCGTTTTATTAAACTAAACTAAACTAGTTTTATTAACTAAAGTTTAGTGGCAAAAATTGATTTAATTTGTAACATTTTGTTAATTTCTACTAATTTATTTACGCTACTTTAAGTGAGTTAAGGCCTACCTTAGTACTTAATTAACTGAAAAATCGCGGCAAAAATCAAGCCGAATAAGATTCCGATTTGCTACTTTTTAATGTCTAAATCTTTCCAGATTTAAAGAAGATAAAAAAGATTTACGGCGAATTAATATCAAGTTAATTGCGAGAACTCGGGATATTTTTGACGAAATAATGTTTCAGAAAATCTGTTGTTTCGCGAAAATTTTTTTTCTATCAAGTAACCATTCCGTCGTAATCACTTAATATAAAAATTCCCATTAAAAATTTAGTTTTGGCATTCTTATATTAAAAATTATCTTCAGTGTTTGCATCAATAAAATTCCCAATAAAAAATCCGCACGATTATCTAAACGGGCCAAACGGTATCGATTTGCATATGACCGAGATTCGATTGTGATTTTCTGCGGTTGGTTGTTTTCCTTCCTCAACGGCTACCGTATCCTCGTATGGGGGAGGGTCGTCGAGAGGAGTGTCGCGTAGCTGTTCTCGGTCCATTTGGCAGCATTCCAGCTCGACTTCCCGCCGGGACCCGTCGTTTTTTGGTTGGGCGCTTTGTTGAAATGACGAGGGAAGGGCCTGGAAGTTGGAATTTTAGATCAATAATTGAATATGTTTGATCCAAAAGAGATAAAATGTTAAAAATTCGATATCTAATTTTACCTAGTTTGCTTTTTTACTTTGTTCCCAGATCGATTTTTTTGAAAACGACGCGACACTACTTTATTAAAATTAATTTTTAGTGAATTAATTTAATTTAATAATAATTTGTGGTAATTAATTAATTAATGAACATAATAATTTTACTTAACTAATCAAGTTAAATTAAAAGTTCGATGGCTTTAATTTCCCTTCTTTTTTCTTCGCTTTGTTACGGTCGATCGAGATTTTTTTGAAAAGACGGGCCCAAATTAATTTAATTGAAATTAGCTTTTAAAGGTAAAAATATAAAAATGCAGCAGACAAATAAAACTCTATAAATTGTATTTTTGAATCCCGGAATTCATATGGATTAAAAGCCTAATAGCTAGATTTACCTATTATTTTTATGAAACTATCAATTTTGTCAAATTCTTTTATTCGGTGATTATCTTAAGTTTTATCCAATTTTTATCATTTCTAAGTCAGTTTTGCTTTTATAACTTGGCAAAAAATGCCCCGTAAGTTCTATTAAACGTTTCCTACCTGATATATCCTTTTCCGTGCCGTATTCACGAGATTGTCCTGGGTGTAGCCGATTTTGCCGGCTTTTTGCAGCCGGATGAGGAGGATGATGGAGAGCACGAGGAGGGAGCCACCTGAAAAGAGGCGGTTACCGTAATTCAATGAGCAGCCTCCTACTAGTATTAACCAATTTGAACATCAAATTATTTTGATACTTTGATGAAACATCAAAATTTCGGACCTGCTGATGTTATTTTATGGCATGTCCACAAATAATAAATGCTTGGTCGATATTAAATGCTTAAATTTCAGATTAAATTTCAAATTTAAGATTTAATCATTAAATTACTTCTATGAATAATTTATAACGACCTATGAGGACGAGTAACAGGTTTTTATGATGAAAATATGAGCAAAATAGCGTACAGAAATATTGATGCAGGGGCAATATTGATGGGAACTCGAGGACAATTTTGTTTTAGCCGGACACAAAACACATTTTTTATCGGCCGAGATTTTGCATTTTGATCCTTGTTTCGGGCCGTAATTTTTCTGTGGCGTTTTTGAAGTTAAATTTTAGGTCCTACGCTTAATAAAACACGCGCGCACAAGGACATGTGGCGAAAACAAGAATTTTTTGAAAAATCTTTTAAAAATTAATGTTTCAGCTAATAAACAGACGCGCGCTAAATAGTTTTCAGTAGTCCATGAAACTTCATAATCTGAACATACCAAAAATTCCAATTAAAATCATTGCCGCGTCGGTCGTACGCCCGTCCGTATAAGTGGGGCCGGCAGTGTCGTATGGCTGAAAATTTCGATATTTTAACAATGCTTCGAAATGAAGCAAGTCGAAAATGGCTATTCTTGCGTTGCTTTGCCTTTATTGATTTTTTTGGTAAGTACTATTAAAGCTTGATTAAAATATTTAAATCCTTGTTAACTTACCAATTCACAGAAACGCCCGAAAAACCCGAATTGGCAGGAGCACTTTGCGGAATGGCGAAACGGCACGCAAATTGCTCCATTTTGGCATGGGGACACCTGGAAAAAGTTTAATACACTCTTACGCACTAATAAATAAGCAACCAACATATAACTTATTAATTATTGGACTTTAAAGTCCAAAAACATTTTTTTAATTAATCTTCTCACGCCACAAGACTTGTATTACACTAGGAAAAATTTTGGCAAGCTTAGCTGTTTTATGTTTTGCGTTTTTCAGAATCCAAAATCTTTTTCAACCCTTCTCATCCCACGCTATACCATAAAACCGAGGAAAACCGTAGAAATGCTTTAGATTTGTTTCTTTTTTTGTATGTTTCAAAGATTCTATAGAGAAATATTTTTTGCCCCGTCATTAATTTTTTATTCCCCGTGTCACAGAATCCTGACCACCGGCGGAAATTGGGTGCAAGAACAACATTTCTCTCTCTCTCTCTCTTCTTCTCTCTCTCTCTCTCTCTCTCTCTCTCACTTCACCTCAAGAACCTGAAAAACTTACCAGGCACGGATTCGAGCTGACAAACGATCGAGGCGAATCCGGAATTTGACAGTGGCTTCCCGAAAATCCGTCCGGACATACGCAAGTGTACTGGCCGGCTCCTCGCGGAATGCATTGACCTCCTGTAAATATAAATTATCTTGTGTATCCCAAACAACTCCTTATTGTGCAACATTTCTCTCAGCTTCGGGCTTGTTTTTTTGAAACACCAAATTTCTTCGAAATTTTTGCGTAAAGAATCTCGGAATTCAGGCCCTAGTAGCACTAGATAGTTTAAAAGTTTGTAGCCTAGCTTGTGGTATATCCTTTTAAAATAATTTATTAAAAATATGCAAAAGAAAGGATGAAAAACAATTTAAAAGAATTATTTAAAGTACTGCCTGAGCTTGTTTAAAACCAAATGTTTTATGTTTATTATTGAATTATTGAATTGAATAAAATTAGAATTTGTTAGTGTGCTATTATTATGTGGATTAGATAAGATTTACATGTTTACAAAGCGCTATTATCCTAGGTTTTTGCCGAAAAACTGCATCGAGAATCCAAAAATTAATCAAGAAATTAATAGCCGCTTGAAACGTCTATTTTGGCAAGCCTTAAAACATTCTTTTTTTACATTGGATGAACCGTTTTCGACGAGTAATTCCAATATTGAACTATTTCCGGGGCTTCATAATTTTCGAAACATCGAGTTTTTTACGTCTTGCCCAAAAAGGCCTTTACGTTTTTTGTTAATTTTAAATTTTTATCATTCTAATCCTAATTTTTAATTTCTTAGCATGCAATTTTTTTTGCAAAGTTTCCGAATAACAACCTGCGAATAAACCACTTCCCAGAAAAATTTTTTTAAAGGATGTTTTGAAACATTATTTTTCAAAAAATCTTGTTTTCTAAAATTTTGCGTGTCCGCCTGACCGGATGCTAATTTTACAACTACCCCCAAAACAATGGTTATAGTGATTTCCTTTACGATCCGGCTGGGCGTTACAGTTTCTAAAGGGGGTAATCCGGTGTCTCGGTCCTAAAACATGCCCCCGGGGGCAAATTGGGGGCAGCAGGCCAGAGACAATGGACCCAGTTACTGTATGACTGTAAATTGGAGCGTTCGGAGCGGAAAATTGTTGTCAAACTTTCCATGATATTTTGCTTATTATCGAGTAGCTCCTGTTATCAAATTGCGTGGAAAAGCTCACTACACCAACATTTATGAAACAATTTTTCGATCTGGCATTAGAAAAAGTGTTTTAGTTTTTTAATGGAAAACTGCTTGATGTAAAGTATGAAGATTGGACAAGAACCTTACCTAATATAGACAATGAAACATGGATACCGTAAATCGGTGCATTCAGACCGGGAAAATGCTGTTAAAGTTCCTATGGTACCTCATTTGAACATCCGGCGTACGCTCAAAGTCAATTACGACTTTTCCAGAAAGTTCTCTACCTGCCTGCCTCTATAGTTATTTTAGATCTGGTTCCTAAAGAATCTCTGCTAGCCTGCCATGGCAAAAGAGGCGGATTTTTCTATAATTTCTAAAATTTAGCGCTTTTACGTACTACGGGCTAGAGTGTGTCGTTTGCAAATACAAATCCACTTTGAATAAATAAATCCAAATAACGGATATTCAAATAATCCAGAACCGTTATTTGAATAACCGTTCTCCCGGAGTGCCGATTCAAATATATTTGAACATGTTCAAATAAAACCGAGCTTTGTCAAATCGCTCTCCTTTTGACAAAACCTAGTCAAAACTTTCATTCAAATAAGAAATGTCAAATTTCGAGACGAGTTGGGCTAAAATATCAACCGCCAAATGTCGCACAGCCCTGCAACGCTGTTTTTGCAGAATGCCGGCATCAAAAAATTTTCGAGATAGATGTTAGCATCGCATTTCGGAACAAAACCTCCCGTCGGCATTTTCGCGTTTCGGCATTTAGCACGTCGGCATTTTCAAGTCGGCATTCGGACAGTTGTTATATTGCGCTTGGCGAGCCGATAGGCACTTTGGTTGTCTGCCGCTGATTCCGACCACCGAAAACTGGAAACCCTAAAAATCCCGAAATACCGAAAAATACCGTCATTTTTCACTATTCGGCATTATAACATCTAGGAAATGGTCGGCGGTGCTATTCTAAGGTCGACAAAGGCCCTTCTTAAATCCATGGGCGCGATTTTTTCAAATTTCGTTTAGCTTGTCCAGCTCGGATTTATTTGAATAATGTTCAAATATATTTGAATCGGAGCGGAGGTGGTTCCGTTATTTTACCGATTATTTGAATAATTTCCGGGATGCCTTCAAATAATTTATTTGAGCGGGCTCGAATATATTCAAATAATTATTCAAACACGACACACTCTACTACGGGCACGTACGCCACTAAGTTTTGGGTAAGACTCAGCTTCTTATATGTCCGAAACATTTTTTCTGGATCTTCCGGGATTGCATGGAAATCTAGTTTATACCAGGGTTGAAAAGCCGCTTCGCGACTTTTCAACCCTGGCCCCGTCTAACCCCCTGAACGTTCTTCACTCTGCCTTTGTCTCTCGAATTTCGATGCGAAAAATGAAAAAAGCGGCTCAAGTCTAGGAAACCCCCCCCCCAGCCGTAACTTTTCAACCATACGTCCTATGAATGCGCCGAGTATCTCAAAATGTTCGCCGTGGTCGGATTACTTTAGAAAAGTTGTTTTCTTACATCAAAAATTGCTAGAACAATTTTTATAACAATTATAAGTCTGGGTTTTCTTTAGTTAATTTTTGCTGTTCCAAAGTGAGTTTTCGTATCTCGACTATCTTTTGACGTACAGAGCTGTCAATGGTACCAAAATGTAGCTCTTGCTCTGGAGAATCAGCCTACAGTACGCTTGAGTCGAAAAAACAGCGGAAAATAAAAATATTTGAGTTTTAGGCTCCTGATACATCGAAGCATAGCGGCTTAATCTTTTCAACTTTCAAAATCTTGTAAAAATTGTTCTAACAATTTTTGATGTAAGAAAACAACTTTTTTATAGTAATCCGACCACGGCGAACATTTTGAGATACTCGGCGCATTAATAGGACGTATGGCTGAAAAGTTACGGCTGGGGGGGGGTTTCCTAGACTCTTATCAAAAAAGCCCCTCCCTAGCTGATTATGTAGGCTCTTGCCGCTTCCGGTTTATGCTGATTTGTGCTAACAAAGAGGCTTGCCGAAAATTTTACAAAAACTTAAATTTAATGTCGAAAATAGCTTATTTTGTAAAATCTGATAAGCGTGCAGTCATCCCAGAGCCATTACGATCCTAATGACGTATCATACATGCCATCAAATTCATCCCTAATTGAGATATCCCCCCGGACATGGTGACGGAAGTTGCATGCAAAGTGGCACACACACACACACACAGACACTACTTTTTTATATATAGTAGGATATATATAGCGTTGCTACTAAAACCAACTCAACCATCGAGTTGGTTTTAGCCAAATCTCGAAAACAAATTGGTTTCATAAAAACTCTAAGACGATTGTGAATCTTAACCTTACTGCGAAGTCGATTTCCTGAATTACGGTATGAATTGTATTTATTTTGAAAGCTAAAATGTATTCAAAATTTTTGCGCCTTTGAATTACGTATGTTACGTTCGAAATGCTCCCCTGAGAAAGTATATATTTCGGTAATAAACGGAGGCTTTCGGAGGGTTTCTTCTTTTTGAATACCGCCCCCGGGGGGTGAAAATGGCCATAAAAAGACATAAAAACTTGTAGCCACCTTGCGCCGTAGAGGCACACCACACCTGTGCAAACAAAAAAAAGGGGTGTCACAAGTAGCCGCGCGGAATTACAGCCCCCCACCAGACCGGCAGCCATCTGTTTTTGATCTGGCCGACTTTTTCGATTTTGGAATAGGGAACTCGATGCAGCAACGAATTTTTAAAACTTTTTAGATGTTTAGACCATGAAACATTTTTTTTGCATTATAGGATAGAAACCTACTTTTTTTTCTTAAGATCCAATATCTATATTAATAAATGGAGGACGAGCTACTAAAATTTTTTTGCTGTTCCTAAGCGTGTAAACCTTACAAATGTATTAAAAATACGAAAAACAAATGTCGAGTTTTTTCGAAAAAAATCGCGGATTTTCAGAAATTTTTAGAGATTGATAGTTTTTTCACTTAAATGTTGCTAAATGTTGCTAAAAACCTTATTAAAATGCTTCTTATTACACTACTAGACATTTCTGAATTTTAGAAAACATTAAGTTCCCCGATGTCCCCCCGATAATGTAAAAGCACCTACTTTTAATTTTACTTTTATTATCCATCAAAAAATACCACCAAGACAAGTTAGTTAATTATGTAACAAATACTGCCCTAAAATGACTTACCATTCGAACAGATCCCTTCTTGGTGACACGGGTCGGCGCCGCTCGGGATCTCGCACCTGTACGTGTTTGAAAATTAAATGTTTCAGGAAAAATGAAAAATTTTGCAGACCCTGTGTATCTAATTTCCTGTTGATCACAATCCAAACGAAAAATATTTATTTATTTTGGAAATTGGTAGATCTTGGAATTGAGAAATCGATGTTTCATGATTTTCAGAAGTCAGGAATTGTCGGAGCCATATTAGTCAGACGTTCCTTTTTTCCACATTAAAGGGCTGCCGACGGCATGTGGTCGATCCCCCTCATCAACAAATTGGCAAGTAGCCAACAGGGGAGAGAGCGCGCCCTGGGGAGAGGCGCAGAGACATTTTCTTTTCCGTGCGTAATCGATTGGCTATGCCGTCGGCATCCCTTTAACTTGTTATTATTTCTTCTATATAATTAACTAAACTACCTATTTGAATTTATGATTCGAATTGTCTAATTAAAAAATTTTTCCAAAAAATAAGTTGCGAAAATTTTAAATCCGGGAGACAATGACCATCATTCAATTTTCCATGTATCCGGCCTAGAAAGAAAATATGTTTCATTAATGGTTGTTGGGCGTTACCTAATTTCGATTAAATGCACGCGAATACCAGGAAAAGTAAGGATATATTAATAGTAAAGCCGTTCATGCGCGGTTCCTTGCGTGCACGGCGCGCGGTCCCGCCGTGCGCGGCGCGCGGTCCCGCCGTGCGCGGCGCGCGCTCTCGCCGCGCACGGCCCGTCCGGGGCCGTGCCAGCCGCGGTCAATGCAATGGCAATGGCAACGGCGCGCGCGCGCAATGAACCGCGGCGCTGCTGTCCCGTGTTTGAGCCTATTCCCATAAGAAATTTCTCCTTTTAAATTTAACTGAAACAAACCTGTCACCAGAAAATCCCTGTGGACATTGGCAGGTGAACTGCTCGGGGCCGCCGTTCATGCAGAGGCCCCCATTTTCACAGGGCGACGCGCGGCTACAGTAGTCCAAGTCTAAATATTACTGTAAAATAAGGTTTATTACGACTTGATTGTAAATAAAAAATACCGTGTCTAGCTAACCTTTTTTCCACAAAAAAATGTTTTACGAAAAAATTCATGCAATCGAAGGGCCAGGGGAATTTCTGCGTTACGTACCGTTTTTCTCGGGTAACACCAGGTCCATTAAAAAACAATATAGAAACGGTAGATTAAATTAAAATTGAATAACTATAGGTTATTTTTAGTAAAATTAAATTTAGGACAAAATATAAAACGAAACGCGAAATTAAGAAAGAAAAAATTCTTTAAATTAAAAAATACGCACGAAATTAAATTGATAAAGGAATAATTTAAATAAGAAAGCTGTATGGCAAGGAAATTCAAGAATGAAAAATCTAATTAAGTCGATGGAATTAATTTTTTTAAGCTTTGCTTCTGATCAAAGCAAAAATTATGTTTCGTCTATCCGCATAAGAGCGAAATTTTATTATTGAATACTGAATTCGGAATCCACGCGAAATAATTAAAAAAATAAATAGGATAATAAAATAAGATAAATAAGATAAAATAGTCAAGTACGTAAGAAATCCTACCGTAGTCGCAGAGCAGCCCTTTCCATCCCTTCTCGCATTGGCATGTGTTCGGCTCGCCATTTCGGCAGGCTCCGTGCTGACAGCCGGGCAGCGGTATGCACTGTAAAGAGGCGTAGTTTGTAGTTTTTAAAAACTTAGGCAAGCGTTCTTTACATTCAAAAAAATTTGAAAATTAATGTTTCAAACCGATAACAAGTTGCGTGAAAATAAAATTCTATACTTTCATGCCAAATTGTTTTCCACTGTTTAAAAAAGTGCGTCCACGCCACAGTCGGTACTGGACTGTTAGCGGGGGGGGGGAGTAATTTTTGTTTTATTGCCGCCGATAATTACATACTTGTTAATAATACATAACCGAGTTTTGTGGCGTTTTTTGTACTTTTTGATTGCCAGGAAAGTATAAATATTGTTCAAATATATTTAAAACGGTTTAAAATATTTCAAACCCGAAAATTAAAAGAGAATTTTACTTAAGAAATACCTCTTCACATCGAGCCCCCCGAAAGCCAGAAGCGCAGCTGCAAACTTCCGGTGCTGTACAGGTCCCGTTTTGGCAGGCCGTCGAGCAGATTGCTAGAATTATGGTTTATGAAACAGATTTTGTTATTTTCTAATTTCTTTCCAAGTTAAAATTCCTTTGCCAATTAAAATTAGAATTTAAAATTTTTTTTGTTTTAATAAAAAAGTTTTGTTTCAAAATTTTGTGAACAATAACGACCCGGCAGTTTCACGATGTCAGCATTTTTTGTGCAACGTTTGTTCGTACGGGCGGCATTCGATAGAGCATCGAAAATTAGGTTAGGCGTTTTAGTTATAACCAAAAAAATAATGTAGTATGAAAAAAGTATAGCAAAAATAAAAATAACCTCTAAAAATGAGGTAAATGCTCGTTTTCGAATTCATATTGTTTTTCGATATTTTCATGCGCCATTCGATCGATCATAAAAAGCTATGCTAAGAGTTTTAATTCTACCCATAAGTAGTGTAAAATAAAATATGAAAATAAAAAACATTTGGGATCGAACGCGAAAATCGGCATGAAAATGCTTGATAAAGTACGATGAAAAAGAACGTCCATTAGCGCCAAACATTTCAATATAGTCAGTAATTATTACGAAACACACCTTTTCCACAGTCCAATCCAGTCCATCCGTTTTTACACTTTTTTGCGCCATTCTCGTCGCAGTCGTAGCGTTCCGTTTCCGCGCACGCCAAATTGCATCGAGGGCCGTAGCGGCCGCTAAAATTTGAATAAAATACGATATTACTTCCTCAATCGTCCCTGCTAGATTTTTTGGAGGCTTCTAAATGTAGCGAATTCCCAAAGATTCTCTTAGCCTGCCCTCTCCTCTTCCTCAACAATCTCTGCTAGCCTGCCCTCTCCTCTTCCTCAACAATCTCTGCTAGCCTGCCCTCTCCTCTTCCTCAACAATCCCTGCTAGCCTGCCCTCTCCCCTCTTCCTCAACAATCTCTGCTAGCCTGCCCCTCTCCTCTTCCTCAACAATCTCTGCTAGCCTGCCCTCTCCTCTTCCTCAACAATCTCTGCTAGCCTGCCCTCCTCCTCTTCCTCAACAATCTCTGCTAGCCTGCCCTCTCCTCTTCCTCAACAATCTCTGCTAGCCTGCCCCTCTCCTCTTCCCTCAACAATCTCTGCTAGCCTGCCCTCTCCCTCTTCCTCAACAATCTCTGCTAGCCTGCCCCTCTCCTCTTCCTCAACAATCTCTGCTAGCCTGCCCTCTCCTCTTCCTCAACAATCTCTGCTAGCCTGCTCCTCTCCTCTTCCTCAACAATCTCTGCTAGCCTGCCCTCTCCTCTTCCTCAACAATCTCTGCTAGCCTGCCCTCTCTCTTCCTCAACAATCTCCTGCTAGCCCTGCCCTCCCCTCTTCCTCAACAATCTCTACTAGCCTGCCCTCTCCTCTTCCTCTAACAATCTCTGCTAGCCTGCCCTCTCCTCTTCCTCAACAATCTCTGCTAGTTGCCCTCTCCTCTTCCTCAACAATCTCTGCTAGCCTGCCCTCTCCTCTTCCTCAACAATCTCTGCTAGCCTGCCCTCCCCTCTTCCTCAACAATCTCTGCTAGCCCGCCCTCTCCTCTTCCTCAACAATCTCTGCTAGCCTGCCCTCTCCTCTTCCTCAACAATCTCTGCTAGCCTGCCCTGAAAACATTTATTTCATTTATTATTATCATTTTTCAATCTATTTTACAATACCTAGCGCATTTTAACCGGAGCTCCCCAGAGAGTACGGTAGTATCTGAAGAAAAATTGGCGACGCGCCAACCATCCCCATTGGACAGTGGACCCGCGTAGCTCAGCGTCGCGTTACCTGAAAAAAACTGCTTTGAGAAAATTTAATGCGAAACTATTTAACAAGTTAATTAAGTCTCAAAAATAATTCATAAAATTCATCAAAATCTGATTTTAAGATAAAAAGTTCAGCGCGAACACGTTTTCCATTCATCTTCATGAGAATTTTCCCAAAAAGTATGTTGCGTAATAAAAATCGGCCACGGAGAGGTTGACGCGCATTAATGGTGGATAGTGGATTGTAGAGGGCCGAATTTTTCTAGAAGAAAATCTCCCGGAAAATCCCCAGTACCCCGTCGCAAAAAGATTAGACGTAGTCATATTTGGAAAATTGAGTTTCGGCATTCTGGTAGTAGCGGTAACAAAGATGCCGATTACTCAGGCTTTTGCAAAAAATGTGTTTCTTATCAAACCCTAGTTTATCATGGCATTTTAAACCCTAGTCGCATGTCGATAACCCCTTCCGGTAGATTTTGTCCAAAATATCGACTTTCTGGGCCTTTGCATAATTCGATTTTTTTCGCTTTCTAACCAAGCCCGGAAAATACAGTTTTTTTTTGTTTTTGTGTGGTTTCTGCCATTTGAAAAACGATGTTTTAATTATGGGTGACTCCTAAATTCCACATCCCCAGTAGCCGTGCAACATCTTATCGCCAATTTTTTGTTGGCAAATAAATCAGCCCGAACAGGTCGACGCGTGTCACCCGGGGTCACGCAAATAATGTATGCCATCGTAAAGTAGCTAGAAAGGCGGCTTTTTGAAGCCTGCAGGCTATGATGTATCCAAAGTATTATTAAGTCAAAAATTAGAAGAAAAAAATCAGATAGGTCTTTGTTTCAGGGCGGACTAGCAGAGATTGTTGAGGAAGAGGAGAGGGCAGGCTAGCAGAGATTGTTGAGGAAGAGGAGAGGGCAGGCTAGCAGAGATTGTTGAGGAAGAGGAGCGAGAGACGAATGGCGCGAAAAAGCGTAGAGCCGGGTGGACTGGTTTGTATTTTGGGAAGCTGTGTTTCGTAATAATTGATGGCTACGCTGAAATGTTCGGCGCTAATGGCCTATCTTGCACGCCGTCCCCTAAATCGTTTTTATGCTGATTTTTCATTCCAATATTCAAACTTGGAATCCCGTGTGGACGTAGAAATGCCTGAATTGACCAATTGTGATATTGTCAAAACCTCGAATCGTTCGATTTTCCGAACCACATTTTTAAGAAATTAAATGGCGGAAACGCGCAAAATACAAAACGATTCAACAATATTTTTTGTTAAATAAAGTTTTATATAAACACACATTTTTCTATTGGATATTTATTACTGTGTATGCTACCTTACGATAAAGGGATTAAATGTTTCGCTTTACGCTAGCCACCCCCAGATGCCCGGGGCTATGTTTCCACTAGATTGAGATGTTATCACATTTTCGGGGGTGTCAATCGGGTTGCATGGCCGTCTCTCACTCGCTCTCTCTCTCTCCCTCTCTCACTCTCTCCCTCTCTCTCGCCCCGTAAATAGGCAGATGTGTTGTCCATTGGCACGCAATCCACCCACAACACAACCAAAAGGACACCTGCTCCCCGCGCGCCCCGAAATTGGACGTCTTTTAGCGCGCCCACCGGCTGGCCCGTGCCGCAGGAAAAAAGTATGTAGCGCAAAAACGGGTTTCCGGGCGGGGAAGAGAAGCTGGAATGAACTGCGAGCTGTGGAGTCAGTTTAGTTGGATATGAAAAGCAGACTAAACTAATTTTTAGCTTCTATCTCTTTATAATGATTTATTATTATTTTCTTATTAATTATTAATTATATATTTTTTTAATTATCTCGTGAAGAAGTCATGGGGCGTTTAAGAGAATTTATAAGCCGCTAGATTAGATCAGAAGCGATGGAAAGCTTAAGAAATTTCATAAGGGCAGGTCAATCTAACGATGTGTTTCAGAAATCCTTAGAAAAAGGGGATTTCTCGTAATTCGAATAATTCATGGAAAAAATTATGAGCCAAGCTGGTTAAAAACCTCGAAAACCAACGAAAAATAAACGACTTTCGCGGATAAAATTTTGAATGTTTTAGTGAAAAATAATTATCAACACCGAATAACAGCGCCAATACGAAATCGGATGGAGGGAGATGTTTTTTGAAATTCTGTAACTCTAATGAAATGTTTCAAGGATGGAACTTGATCAGGATTGGCTAAGCGTAATATTACAACTTCATGGAACTTACAAAATTGTAAAGTTAAATCTTAATTGAAACCTATTCTTTAACGCCGACCTGCACTGCTCGAAGAAGTGGTGACGACGAGGGCGAAACGATCCTGAAAATTTTATATAATTTTATACGCTTTTTACATATGTTTATATGCTTTGAAATATATTTCCTTATAATGTAAAGATTTAATTTGTTTTCATATTTTTCAAGGAGTACCACTACCTGGCACAATCCCTTTAAAATGGCCTCCTTATCCCCACCGTCTATTCCGACCAATTTACCACGGATTTATGGACTTTCCGCGGGACAACACAATGACACTTTACCCCCCCTCACCCAATACGGCCCATTAATTTCCGCCCGGTGGTCGAAAGTGTAGGACTCCAAGTTACCCAAAAAAATTCCTAAATTTTCTCTGCTAGCTAGTCTAGCTCTCGCAATTCCTCAAATTTTCTCTGCTAGCATGGCCCGAAAATTCTTCAATTCCTCAAAGAACCTCGGCTAGCTAGCCTGCCTCTCGAAATTCCTCAAAGTGTATTTGCTAGCTTGCGCCTGATATTTCCCTCAAAAAATCGCTGCTAGCCTGTCATCCCAAATTTCTCCAAGAATCTCTGCTAGTTTGTCCTGAAAATTCCGCAAATTGCCTTTGTTAACCTGCCCCACGATTTCTGAGATTTTCTCTGCTAGCCTGCCATTGAAAAACTTTAACTATATCAAACTAAAACCATATCAATTTTTGATTTAGTCTACCTCTGCAAAATTTCGCAAAGAACCCCTGCTAGCCTGCCCCCGATCTTTGAGTTGTCCCTTTTAGTCTGCTAATCAAGAATTCATCAATCTGTACAATTTTGCGCGTTTTTTATAGTTGAAAACTGGCGAGCAATGCCCTACAGTTTGAAAGTATTCGCCAGTGACAGAATTTCCGCGTTTTTATGACTACCCGATTATCAATGCTGAAATGACCCGATCAGTCGAAAAAGTTGAAACTCAGTTTTTGAAAAAACATGTCTTACCGGCCACACATGCACCGGGTCCGGTATCGCAATCTCCGTGTAGTCGGCGACTTCTTGGAGTCTAAATAATTATAATAATCAATCATAAGCTGAATGTCGTTCCAGCATTGAAGGAATGGGATCATAAAACACCCGCTAATTTTTTGAAACTCGTTTTTCCGCCACTAGAAACTACAACGAAATAGCAACCATTTCTATCGTATTTTACACAATTCTTAGATATAAAAGGTTCATAAAAATTATTAGATTTCTCGAAAATGTTTGTTTTTTGGCCAAAAATTGATGGTAAAGGACCAAAAAGCATAAATGTAGATTTTCAAATTTTTAAAACTATTTTTATAACATTCCAACAATCAAAAAATACTAAAACACTATAGAAATACGTTCTTTATCAACACTCCGAAAAAGCAAACAAAAATATTAAGGAGTTCGGTCTTACTAGGGAAGTATCTGAACTTGCCACCGAACTTTGAGAAGTCAGATACACCATTCGACGCGCCGTGACAAGAGGATTCCAAATATGTAATAAAATCAACGGGAGCGCATAACGGTAAAAAGTTACGAGCATTTTAAGTTTTACATTGAAATCCACCGCCGCGAGAAGAGCCCCACCCAGCGCACCCTGTCCATCGGTCTCGTGGCCTACTGGTTTGCGCATGGGTCTCTGGGCTGTATGACCAGGGTTCGGATCCCCTCACGATTTTTATTTTTTGCTTTTCGACCGGTTCTTACTTTTTGCATGTCCAAACTCGGGAATAAGTTTTTCTTTACTGTGTGACTTCTAAAAAGGATAAGCGATGATGAAATAACCTCCGGCAACAAAACTAGGATTGGATGCTCTCTATATCAAAGTTGGCAAAATCGTCGGAAACCGCCCTTTTAAGGCTCTGTGCGAATTCGAAGAATTTAATTTATCAAAAATGGAACAGTACCCCTTGATCAGCAGAAAATTCCCTTTCGAATGAGCTATCTTACCTGCGCTTTACGCCAAATTCTCGAAAAGTCTTTGGCTAGCTGGCCATGCCCTACCCTTACACTGCATTCCAAAAATATTTTTTGCGGAAATTTTTGGCAGCCGTATGTAATATAGCTCATTTGAAAGAGCTTTCTTTGTTGAATAAGGAGCACTAATTAGTTTAGACTAAATTCCATTCCGCGGGATGATACAGGGTCTCAAAGATGCTGTTTTTCGTCATTTTGCCGACTTTGAAGCCTCATAACTTTTTACCGTTATGCGCTCCCGTTGATTTTATTACATATTTGGAATTCTCTTGTCACGGTGCGTCGAATGGTGTATCTGACTTCTCAAAGTTCGATGGCAAGTTCAGATACTTCCCTAGTTAGTACCCAGAAACCTAGTAAAAAGCAAAAAAGCTAGTCACTTTAAATTTTGATGAAACACTCTTTTTCATTTAATTTCATTATTTTATGTAAACTGCGATTATTCAGCAAAAATTCACTCCAAACAAATTTCTAACTCTAAACGCGAATTTTATAGTTTGAAGTTGTTGTGCATGAATGTTTGAAGTTCCAAAGAGCAACCCTAAACCTCATTTTCTTCCTATCAAACTTTATTAAAAATTGCTTTCAAAATTAAGGTGAGTTTACGAACCTCAAATCCACAGTCCGCTCCCCGAGTGGACATTCGCCATACTGGGGCACGGAGAGCCTCTTAAAAGGCTTCAGACAAAATCTGAACAGCTCGATCCCGTCGAAATGAGCATCTACGTGAAGCCGGACTTGAACCGTGCCGATCGACGCCCACTGAAGATTTTTTAAATACCTTCAAAAAGTACTATCCGTACCGTAAACCCAAAAATTAGACAGCCGCCGAGTAACCGGAACATTGGCGCTGCCGACATTTTGGAGGTGAATTTTTGAAGTTTCACAGAATTGTGTAGGTCTGGAGATTTCAATTGGGTTAATGCTGACTCTTCATCAGTAAAAACAGAAAAAAGAAATTGCAAAATAAAAAAAGAGAACACAAATGAAAGTTTAAGTCGCACAAATTTTACATAGATTTTATATTCAAAAAATTTATATATTAAAAAAATCTATTTATCAAGTTTTCAAAATAAAATTATTTAAAAACCGCAGAAAAATTTAAAATTAAAAATCGGCCTTTTCGTTAAAATCCCACTTCACGCGACCTTAAAAATGGCTGACCGGGAAAACCGCAAACCCGGGGCTCCAATTTTGGGTGCGGGAGAAAACGGGGCGGAGCCTGGCGCGATGAGCCCGATACCGTAGGCCACGCCCTTTTTTGGGGCTGGAACCCCGGATGGTCTCACGCAGAGAGAATAGCAAAATTAGTGTTGTGGCGTAGTGTACATTAATGGAACATTGATTTAAAAAAATGGAACAAAACTGAATTTTTCATTAAAAGGCGCAAGAATAGCTGCTAATCGAGTTACTTTCAAACTGTCGAAGTTTGCATAAGCGAATTTCCAGGATAATCCCGAAGCCGGGCGAAAAATTCGACATTCTGAATCTCGACATTCTGAATTTGCCATTCTGAATTTCGGCATAATGAATTACACATAAATTGACTTAAATGTTATGAATTTAACGTGATGATTTTCACAATATGATAGCAAATCGATACGATTGTAAAAATTGTAGGTTTATGCAAATTTAGGCCAATCGAAAAGACGACAATGCCTGCTTCAAAGTTATATGTTTCATCGATTTTCGGTAAACTACCGAACTTCTACTAAATAATTGGAAAGGCTGGCTTACGGTACTGCGAAGAAAACACGAATTTTCAAACTCTGAAGTTGATCGAATTTTTCTGAAAATGCGTTTCATGGAATTGCCTTGCGGTAGATGCGTGCTCGTCTTCAATCATAGAAACTTTTGTTTGGTTTCTACTGGTCAGAAAACAGGCAGCTATTTTATAGATTTAGATAATTAGGTTCCTCTTAAAATTCAGTGTTCGCCCTGTTGCAGAGAAATGACGGGAAAACGAAGGTTCCGAATCAATTAGCTTAAAAAACGCAGCGGCTGATTTTTTCGAAACCAATGTTTCTGGGAACTGCATAGCCGACGGTTTGCCCTCGTATTCTAGTTCAACCCTTGTAACGTAGGTCTATTTTATTTTTTGTTTGGATTGTTTGTAATTACTTCGACCGGTTTTCATTCCCTAAAATTTAAGGTGCAGCTAAATCAGTGCAAAGTCAATTGCCTTAAAAAAAGACAGTAGGACCGAGATCTTATTCCTTAACACGGTTTGAAACCAGGTTAATCGGATTGCCCAGTACGACAGAGGCTTATTCTTAAATTCATTTTCAGGCCAGACTGTTAAAATATAAACAAAGTCCTTTTATGACAGGAAGCCTTTTAAAAAATTTCTATAAAAAAAACTCCGAGATTCACCTAAAAAACACGCCCATTTTAATAAATATATGTTGCATGGAATTTGCTGGTGAGAGAAAAATGAGTTCTGTTAATAGAATATGGGTTTATGCGTCAATAAAAAAAAACAAAAATTTCATTATGAAATGGTGGCCCCTACGGAATTCCTATAAAATTAAGGTGTTTCAGAATTCTCTAGTAAATTAAGGATCCGCTTTAATAACAGTTTATTTATCAAGACTACAAAAACGAATAAAAGGCCCAAGAAAATTAAAAAAATCACTTTAACGGCACCAAATATGTGTTGCACGAATTTTCCAGCGGGACAAGGGGGGGGGGCATTTTTTTAATTACGAGTAACTTTCATGTCTTAAAACAAAAATAAAAATTCTTTATGGCAGGAAGGGGTCGTAAAATAGCCAGGTGTCCCCCTCTTGGCCATCCCACCCCCCGAAAATGCGCATGTTAAATCGGGGGGTGGGTGTATTTGATCGGGATGGCGGAAGACATCAAGGGACCCAGAAAGGGGGGCCCTAAACTTGTCTGCTCTCGGTTTGTATCGCTCTCTCTCTCACTCTCTCATTCTCGCTCTGTCTCTCTCTCTCTCTGTCTCTCTCTGTCTCTCTCTCTCTCTCTCTCTCTCTCTCTCTCTGCCCCTGCCGCCCTAAAAACTCTCCACCCTCTCTTAGCTCATTTGCATACAGTGCCCCATGCCCAAATATACCTGCTCGACCCAGGCGTCTTGACCGGAAATTGGGGGATTTTTATAAAAAACTAAGCCTTAGTTAATTCTATTAAAAACCACCTATCATTAAAACTATTATAAATGTCAATAATTTTAGTAGAAAATATGTTTTAATTCCCAGTCTAATTGGCAAATGTTTGGACACCAGAATTTGTTCACAGTTTCAAAACAATATATGTTAAAATTTCAGCCTTTCGAATATAATTTTTTCGACACCCGCCTTTTTGATGATAATCGTATTTATCTCTTTATTTTATTTATTTTATTAATATCTTAAATGAATGGATGAATTAATGGTGATCGAATGGCCACTAAGGTATTCACAAAATTACGAAAGCATTATAAATGGTGGCTAAAACTATGTTAATTTTACTGCGTTTAATTGTCTTAAGAATACTCTAATATCCTAGAAAAATATGAATATGGCTGCTATAAAAAAAAGCAAAAAAACGTTATACTTTAAAACCCACGTTATACCGATTAAAAATATCTTCAAAAACAATGTTTTACAAAATTGTCTATACCGATCTACCCGAAAAAGTTACTAACGAGGAACATATTCGGTTTTGCTATAATTTTCCAACCAGGGCTAATTAAACCAATTTTCCAGTATTTTAAGGTATGTTTCGCAATTTTTGGAGTAATAAATCTATTGTTTTTCCCAAATGAAATACATTCGCGATAAATAAAAAAATCGGAATTTCCGGATACGGTAGGTAGCTCTAACGGCCTAAAGAAAGCGATCCATCTCCTGTATCCCCCAAATCGAGGTCGGCCCGCTGGCAACACGGTCGGCAAAGACGGATCGCCAATCAAATTCCCTTTTACACCACTGGACCAACCCCCGCGGGGGATGAATCGAAATTTGGAGCGAATCGGAATGGTTTCAATTTCGATTTTATGGAGGCATGGTTAGTGAAATCTCTCTCTCGCTCGCTCTCTCTATCTCGCTCTCATTCTCTCACTCTCTTTCTTTCTCTCTGTCTCTCGCTATCTCTTTAAAAAAAGGAGCGAAGGCTAACAAGGGAAGGTTGTTTGGGTCAGGTGTCAAATCTTTCTGAAAATTGGCCAGTTGATAGAAAATTGAAAACGGAACAAGGTGCGCTAAGTCGTTTTCTGCACAATACCCCTAATTAAAAAGTTATAAGCATTTTAAGTTTGTGGTCTGAAAAATGAGTTCTGCGCAGGCCTTTGCACCAATACCGCACCGTTTCCACATTTTCTTCATGCGTGATTTCTTGACCCTCTCTCGTCTCCACTCCCCACGTCTCTTCTAGCGCAGTCGGTAGTGCGCTTGACTCACAATCTTTTGAAAAATTTTTGGCAAAAGTTCGAGACTAAAACTTTTCTATCTTTTTGCTTTTTGCTTTTTGCTCTTGCAAATTAGGGTTAGTTGGCGTAAAATCCAAAAAGCAAAAAGTTGGACGCATCAAAGAGTTGAACTCGATTACAAAAATTTAAAAAGTTTTGCACTCTACGGCACTACCTACTGCGCCAAACAGCTTGCCAGTCCGGGCGACGCAAGAGCTTGAAAAGGGGGGCAGGCCACAATGAGGACCAGATCAGAATTGTCGGGTCGTTTCGTGCTTTTTTATGTAACTTCAGAGGCCTATAACTTTTTAATTTGGGGTATTGTGCAAAAAATGAGATTAAGAAACTCCACTTGATTTTTGATTTTCTATCCACTGGTAAAGTTTCAAGTCGATTTGACACCTGACCCAAACAACCTTCCCTTGTAAGTAATAGATTTAAAAGATTAATTTTTCGAAAAAACAATAAGGCGAAAAAATGTTTCAGGAAATCTCATGGTAAATGGCCGTTAGGTCAGGACGATTGGAGACGCTCTTTAGTGATCTAAATTTTTGCTTGGGAAAGGGCTGATCTCCGACTGAAAATAAATTAAATAAATAATAATAATAATAAAATAATAATAATAATAATAATAATAATAATAATATATCTCATAAATTCCGTATTAAAATGATATATATGAAGTATATTAAAACAATCTCAATATCCCATTAAAAATCCTAGCCTAATTTTTGTATCTACATCCTTTTAGAATAATCACAGAACGGTTTTAAACGAGGCTTGTTTGATTAAACTAGCCCGAATGATTAGGAATATTTTTGGCGTAAAAATAAAATGTTTTAAAACGTTGTAGAGCGCGAGAAATTTGCACTAAACAGAAGAGAGTCCCCGAAAAAACATGCTGCATCAAATCTGCCAGTCAGCGCACATGCAGGGACCTTGATATATCGTAGTGATGTCGTCATGTCAAAAAAACAATATGTCATTTTAAATGTTTTCAAGCAAGTAAAAATTAAAGATTCATATTATAATACCATTAAAATATGAAAATAATTTCAATAAAAATTAGATAAATACAAATTAAAATTAAAAATGTTTCAAAGAAGTTTCGTGTAGAAAGAATTGGTCGAGTTTCCTTGAATCGCTTATAACTGCAGGTAAAAGTAAAGAAAAACTATATAAATCAACATATTGTATGGAAACCAGGATATAAATTTTTGGGAAGGTTAATTCGCCTGGTAAAAAAAATTAGGTTGGCATTAAGACAAGTTGAGAAACTCATTTTTCTAAAATAATTCCCATCAGGAATATATCGATTTTTCTAGATAGAATTTTTTAATATTACAATATAGTTTTCAGACTTTTCATCTTTAAAAATTATGAATTTAGAACTTTTAAAATACATCGGTTTTAGAAAAATAGAGCATTTTTAAAGGGTTCAAAAATACATAC